TTAGGTGAAGATGACTCTTTTTTAACTCAATGCCAGTATTATCACCAGTTTTTAGGCTTAAATCTCTCTTGAGTTCCTTAATACTCTATTACAGCCAGGCACTGGGATGCTCAAAAGAGCCAGACTGGATTTTAGGGTAATGCCCATGTCCCAGCTGATGCTCCTTTACCTTTAAAAGCTATTGAATATACATTATTATCATTGATTCCTTTGACCTTCTGTACTTGACCTGTAATTCCTCTGAGAAGATGGATGCAAAAATGGTTCTTGGGCTCTTCCAAAACAATTTGCTGCCTTCTGTGCCTAAAAACTCACTTGAGAAATCTGAAATGGCTTTTAACGTGACAAGCTGATAGTGCTGTATTGCCAATCATAGCTCAAAAAGCCTCTTTTAATGTAGTTTAAGGTTCCTGGCTTTCTGAGGAGAGTTTTTTGGAGGGGTGAAGAGGAGGAGATGCAATTCCGTGATTCTGGAAGCCTGGGCTTGGATTTGACAGAGGGAATAGGCACTGCTGTAGATGAAAAGTTCTCCAGGCTTGGAGAAGAGATTGTCTTGGAAATTGAGGGTAAAAATCAGTTGATTCCAGAAAACTGCTCTGAGTTAGTGGCTTGTGCCTGCAGATGTTGGTTAAAGCTCCACAATTGGCTTTGTCACCTGAGACACCTCGAGAGGTTGTGCAAGGGCTATGGCTGGAATAATTCCCATCACCTGGGGTGTGAGAGGATGTTTTTAGTACTAAAGCTGCTTTTCTCCCAGGAAATTGAGCTTGATTAAGGTTTTTGGCTTTCCTGGAGAAGGCTGCAGCCCTTGGGCTGGGAGTGCTGCTCCCACTTCAGCTTTTCCAGGGAAAATATCTGACGTGGCTGAGGCTGAGCTTCCTGCTCACCCTGACTCTGCTGATTTTATTGCCCCAGGTGCAGCTGCCAGGTGCCACCAGAGCAGCAGTGGGACACTCAATGCCACCACTGATGGCAGCAGCTGCAGTCTCTGCTGCTCCCTACAGAGCCCTGGGCACTAAAACTCAGCTCCAAAGCAAAATAGCTGCAGGGCAGGCACTTTGTCAGAGCTGTGAGAGGGCTGAGAGCAGCAGGAGCTGGGAGATGAAGTGGAGCTGGGAATCTGAGGAAACAGAGAAGGCTGGGGATGGAATCATGGAATCCTGGAAAGGTTTGGGTTGGAAGGGACCTTAAAGATCATCCATCACCCTCTTGCCATGGGCAGGAACAGCTTCCATTAAACCAGGTTGCTCCAAGCCCCATCCAGCCTTATTTTGGGTGGATATTGGAGCATGGCAGGTCTGGGATGAGCTACAGAGGAAGGGCTGATGCTTTGGAGGGGAATCACCAGAGAAATCCTAATTATTCTTTTTTCTTCCCAGCACCTGGATAAAATTGAGTTTACTTTCTAGTTATTCTGGTTTATTTTCATGTTGCATAGTGTGGGCTGAGGGAAGCCCTTGAGGTAAAGGAGGATTTAAGGTGAAAGCATCTGCTGCTTCTGGCTGCAGAGGGTGAGGAGGGGATTTTGTTCCTGCAGCACTGAAGGATGCTGCTTGCTCTCCTTGGTCTCGTTCACTTCCCATGTTTTTCCATTTCTTTGCCATGAGGTGAGTCCTGCAGGGTGGACTGAGAGGGATTATCTGACCACAGTGTGTTCTTCATGGTGCAGGAGAGCTGCACTGATCTGAGCCAGCTGTAACTGTATTCCAGCTCCTCAGCCAAACCTCTCTTTTCTCTCTCTTTTCTCTCTCTTTTCTCTCTCTTTTCTCTCTCTTTTCTCTCTCTTTTCTCTCTCTTTTCTCTCTCTTTTCTCTCTCTTTTCTCTCTCTTTTCTCTCTCTTTTCTCTCTCTTTTCTCTCTCTTTTCTCTCTCTTTTCTCTCTCTTTTCTCTCTCTTTTCTCTCTCTTTTCTCTCTCTTTTCTCTCTCTTTTCTCTCTCTTTTCTCTCTTTTCTCTCTTTTCTCTCTTTTCTCTCTTTTCTCTCTTTTCTCTCTTTTCTCTCTTTTCTCTCTTTTCTCTCTTTTCTCTCTTTTCTCTCTTTTCTCTCTTTTCTCTCTTTTCTCTCTTTTCTCTCTTTTCTCTCTTTTCTCTCTCTTCTCTCTCCTCTCTCTCTTCTCTTTCAGACCATATTTTGGGCTGGAGTGGCATTTTCTGTGCTCAGAGCTCTGACTGGCCCTGTCACACAGTTCGTGGCACTTCAGCAAACACTGCCTTCACCCGAAGTTGCCAACTTGCAGCGATAAAGATGGGGGAACACCAATTTGGAGATCTTAAACTCTCCCCCAGGAAATCTGATGCTAATAAAAAGTGCCAAAAACTCTGCCCTCTGTCTCTGAAGAAGCTGCTCCTTGCAAAGCCTGTGAAGTGTTACTGGGACTTCCATATGGAAACTTGATTGATATGTGCACAAATTCTGCAAGAGCCACATCAGATCCTGCTCTGAACTTGTGCAAAACACCCATCAGACTTGCAGAGGAGCTGAACAGCTTCTGCTGTCGCTTGTGGCATCTGCTGCCCTTCAAGCAGCGGGGGTGGCACTTGGTGAACATCAGGGAATGGGGAGGGAAGCAGCTGCCAGGGCTGGAGGCAGGGCTGCAGCTCAGAGGGGAGGTGCATCTGCCACCACAGAGCCTGTGTCACCTCGAGGTCACCCTGCATTTGACAGGCGTGAATTGCTCATGGTTTCAAGCTCCTGGCAGATGAAACAGGCTGAAGGATTCAAAACAGGAGTGGTCTGAGGCCTGGAGGTGGTTCAGTGACAAAGCAGACACCTGTCTGGGAGTGCAGTTCCTGTCCAGCCCAGGTTGGGGATTATTTGCAAGCCGAGTGTTTTGTCCGTGCCTTGCCCAAGGGACACGAGGCTCGGCTGCCTTTTGTTCTGCTCTTTCCTCCCCTAAAGAGGGAGGAACAGAGGATGCTTCCCTTGCCAGAGTCCTCGCTGACCTCTGCCCAACCCTCTGATCCTACTCCACCCTTGCCCTTCTTCCAGCTCCTGGGCTGCTTCTCTCCTGTCTCCAGCCCTCTCTGTCTTCCACCACTGCCACCCTCTTATCAAACTGGTTTCAGTGGCTGGGGAGAGGAATAAATCATTTTCCCTGCTTGGCTTTTCTCTGTTCACCCTTCTAATTCCTTTAGGACAGCGAGGAAAAGCTCAGCCATGTTCTCAGAGCTGGGTGCTCAAACCATCCTTATGTGTCTCCCATCTGACCCAGTGAGTGGGAAGGTTGGAGATGAAGCTCAGAACTTCCCTGAGGCTGCAATTCTGGATGTGGTTGAGGTGGGAAAAGTCTTCCCCAGGCTGGTTTTTTTTTTTCCTTTGCAGGGCTGCCCAAACTCTCCTGGCACTGAGGGGAGTGTCAGCACTGTGGGTGCTCAGCTTTGAGGAGAGATTATTGTGTCCATCATGCATTTAGGAGGAGCCAAACCCCAACTTTGTGACTTTGTTTGGGATTGAGATGCTTGTGAGGGACATTGTACTACTGCTAATGGCAGTAGGCACCTTGTCTGGCTATTTTCTGCCACATCTGCCAGCAGAGATTCCTTATCTGGTGGTACCCTCAGCATTCAGGTGTTTCCTGTACTTTCCTCACTTCACTTTTTTCTGTCTGGACAAGTTTCCATCGTGCAGGGATGCAAACACCCTAAGCTCTGCCAGCAGCAGAGGGTGATATGCTTGATGTGCTTTGCAGGATGGGGGCAGCAGCACCCTGGATGCTTTTTGGAACCTTCAGAACACTTCTGACAGGGTTTATTCACATTTATTCCTGTCAAGATCTAAGGTGAAGGAGGCAGAGATCAGGAGGGGGTTTAATCTGAGGTTTTTCAGGTTTCCCACACCTTTGATAAGCAGTTTAGAAGTCATCTGGAGGCTTGAAGCTCCTGCAGCCCCTTTGCACCCTCTGGGGGGGTGCTGAGCTCCATCAGCTCGTGGCAGGAAATGCTGCAGCCCCTGTCCTGTGTCACCAAGTTCCTGTTTGTGGCCTCACTCCTCTGGGTTTGTGTTTTGTGGTGGAGAACTGTTGGCTCGATCCCTCAGAGGCAGCATGTGCTGCTTTCAGCTGCTGCCTCCACATTTGCTTATACGAGGCTTTAAAAAAGCCATCAATATTTTAGTTTCCATTCAAGCCTCTGCCTCAAAGCTCCCCCTTTTCATTTCACTGTAGTGCCTAGAGCCAGCTAATGAAATATCTCCCTCCTGCTTCAAATTAGGCATAAAAGACTTGTTAGAAGATGAGGAGAAGCTGCTGAATAATCCTGGTAATGTAAAAATCGACATTCTATAATGTCCCTAATTCTCCTAATTAAACATGATACATGAGTGTGCTACAAGAGTCCTCCAGCTGCTCCCTAATGAGATGTTGCAGGGACCACTTTGCTGTTGGATGAGGCTGGGTTAAACTCTAATTAAAGCCTTGCAAAAGGCTAAGGAGTTGTCTGGTGTAATTAAGAAACTTGTCTCGCATTCTCAGTGCTGCCACCCCCAGTGACCTGCTCCTCTGCTCCATGGGGAACTGTGGGTCTCTCTGTCCGTATCAGGTGTCTCCTTGGAAACTTCTTTTATTTATTTATTTTTTTTTTAATTTTTCCACCCGTAGTTTCAAACCGCCGCATCGCAAAGCAGCAGCGCGGCCTTGGCTCGGTCGAGGTGTTGGGTTTGGGGTGGGTTGGGGCGCAACTCTCGTTTTTGGTGGCGCTTTTATGCAGCCTTTTCATCCCATGGTGGCTTTCACCTGAAGGGGAGCAGGCTGTTGTGGCTGGGCCTTGCCGCCCACACCTTTGGCATGAGGGAAGAGCCCCTGAGGCCACCCCAAAACATGCTGGGGGCCATTCCTTGAACGCCGCGGGCCTCACGGGGCCTCAGAGCGGCCCCTCACAAGGCCCCGGCTATGGCAGAGATCTCCTCAGTCCCGGACTCGGACTCAGCATCCACAGACACTTCCTCGGTGCCAACCACGGGCCAGGAGAGCCTGCCCTCTCATGACACCCCCGTCTCGTTGTCAGGGTACCTCAAGTGCGACACGGACGACGCGAAGGAGGAAGGGGCGAGCGAGGAGCTCTTCGACGGTGTCAACTCCACCATCGTGTCCGGGGACAGCATCCGCTTCTTCGTCAACGTCAACCTCGAGGGCCCTCCCAGTGCCGCCGGTGAGTGGCCCCAAAAAAACAGGGATGGGAAAGGGGGGTTTGTTCCTGGTGGTGGGATTTCATGGGAGCACAGTGGGTTGGGTTGGAAGAGATCTTAAATGTTATTTCTTTAATGGTAGGGACGCCTTCTACTAGGCCAGGTTGCTCCAGGCCCTGTCCAACCCATCCTTGAACCTTTGCTTCAAGTGTTTTAATATCCTCAGTACTGATAAATGATGAGGGAGGAGAATAGCCAAGCCCTTCACCAAAAACTTCTGTCATTTTCTTTGTTTCATTTCATACGCAATTTTGAACTTTTTTTCTTCTGCACAAAATCAAACAAAATCCCATTTGCTTAATTTCCCATAAAAGCCAGTGCTGGTGCTTAGTGAATCCTTTGAAAAGTAAAGCTGGAAGAGGAAGGGAATATAGATCTAAACTGAGATCCCATATAGTGCCAAGCCAGGTCTGAAAAACAGAAGTTTCAGGAAAAGACAGAAATCAAGTCATACAGCTAAAGAGGTTTTTTTTGTGGCTGGTGGCTGTGACAATCTTGCTTAGCTGTAGCAACCATTTTATTTTTCTAGAAAATGTTTTCAGTTTTATTAAGATAAGTAGTTCTGAATTAGACAAAACTTAACCTTCTTTATTCCCTGGAAGTGTTCCAAGGCCTGGTTGGACAGGGCTTGGAGCAACCTGGTCTGGTGGAAGGTGTCCCTGCCCATGGAAGGGGGGTGGAACTGGATTATCTTTAAGGTCCTTTCCCACCCAATTTGTGAAAGCTGGGTTTTGTGAGATGTGCCTGGGAAAACACAGCTCTGGGACACGGAGCAGCCTGGATTTGTCCCAGCAACTGGACCTTGCCTATGTGGGCTATTTTAGAGGTTAAATACACAGGCTGTGGATTATTCTTGGTGTCACAGTGTCAGAGAGTCCTTTCAGTTTGTTAAAAGTTATTTTTAGGTTACGTGCAAATCCCAGTTGATCTGCAGTGAGCAATTACTGGGAATGGTGATGCAGATTAGGCATGGCCTGGACCCCTGTTTGGCTATCTTGGAGTCTGCTTTTTTGACTCTGAGCAATGACTTGAACTTAGGAATAATATCCAGCAATTTCCAAGCCTGCAATTTTACAAATGCCATCTTAATTGAAAGATTTAAGGGAGCTGTGCTCTGCTATGACAAGTCAGGACTTAATGCCGTGGGGTGCATTGTTTGGGGATGAGGAATGCAAGTGCTGTGGATTCTTCTGCATCTGGAGAAGTTCACTTTCCTTGTGTGTCCTCCTGGGCTTTTTTTGTTTTTGATTCAAAACAGGACAAAAAAGGCTTTATTTCCCTGAAGCACTGCTGTTTGTGCTATTAGTTGTATCCTTTTTTTTTTTTTTTTTCAGCTGAGATTATTAGAATTTTTAAGGAAAAATGGATTTCTGGTGTGCTGGGATCCTGTTTCAAATGGAAGGCTGGAGATTTTTTAAATGAGCTTCAGGCAGAGCAAAAGCCCAAACTTTCAATGAGGGCATATGTGAAAAAATAGATTTTTTATTTTTTCACCCCGTTACCACATCAAAGCGATCCAGGTAGCCAAAATCCAACTTTTTCGCTGTTAGGCAAAGAATTCATCAGAGTCCACATGTAGGAGTCATCTGGGCTATCAGTTCCTTTACAGAGATGGTTTTACTGGAGTTTCTTCCAGGCTGGATTTTGTACACATCTAATCAGTCTGTGGCTGCCCAGGGCACAGCTGATCCTCCTGGAGGGGTGACTTTTTGGGTGGCTGAGATGAGCCCCTTAAGCTCCTCCAACAAAAATACCCTGAACTTCTGAAAAAAAATACCCAGTTCCCAAACTGAGGTTTAATTATGCCAGAGCCAAGGTGTGTGTGGGAGTGAATTGTTCCCTGTGCAGAAATTGGCTTCCATCACTGCCACTCTTTAGAAGCTTTGGGAGGTTTGTTTTTATACTCAGATTTTGATTTCCTAGAACAAAGCTGGAGCTGAAACTTTGCATGGATTGTCCAGAGTGAAACAAGCTGGAAAGGATGGGGAAATAAAAGCAGGGTTTCTCCAGGCAATGCCAGAAACCCCAACACCTCATTTCCTACCCCTGTGGAGCTGGTGCACCAGGATCCTACAAAATCCTTTGCTGCTCTGAAAACACAGAGGAAAACCAAGCATGGGAGTGGAATATTTGCATCCTCATGTAATTTTCCTGTGTTCTCCTAGCTGGGTGAAGTGTTTGAGTAAAAATGTGCTCTCTTGGCTGAATGTGGTGCCCAGACTCTCTCCTGCTGGAGACTTTTTTGGGTCTCCTGCTGGAGACTTGTTTTGAGCTGCTGTGAGGTTGCTGCCCACCTTAAAATAGGACTAAAAGATCAAAAATTCCCATTTAGGGAGGGGATGAGTTGGAACCCTGGGATGCAGGTGCTGGCAGGCAGTGAAGGTGGAATTACAGATGCAGTGACAGCTCTGCATCATCCTGTTGAGCTGTTCCTCTCTGTGTGATGTTGTGTGCAGCTCTCCACGAGCATAATTGGATGCTCTCCACTGCGATTCTGTTTTTAAAAGATCGCTGTGTGGGATTAAGCTTTCAGCCAACAAAACACAGCACGACCCATAAAACTCCAACAAATGACCATTGACATAAAATACTGGGCTTTGTGCACAGGTGTGTGTAAAACAGGATGGCTTGAAGAAATCTGGGGTTTAAGGTATGGCCTGTCTTATTTTTAATTAATACTGGCTGCCTTTGCAGGGAGTACTTAGCCCAAAGCAGTGCAGATGCCTCAGCACTAAAACGCTGCTCAGTGGTGACATTTGGGTCATTTCTCCTGGGTGTTTCAGTGCTTCCTTGCATTAACTGATGGAAGGTTTTTTTTTTAATTCTCTTCTGCTTTTCACCCTTGTAACTTGGATTTTGGTGGTAACATTTGTTTTCAGCAAATGTTCGTAGCTCTAACAGGAAGGTGGGTGTTTATCTGAAGCTGGAGGCTTTTGGACCTGGGATCTGCATTTTTGGGGGAAGATCAGGGTGGTTTTTAGGCTGAGGCTTTTTCTGAAGTCACAATAAATGTTTGCAAGTAAAATCACAGAATTGTTTGGGTGGGAAGTGACCTTTAAAGGTCATCTAGTCCAACCCCCCTGCAGTAAGCAGGAATGTTTTCCACTACACCAGTTTGCTCCAAGCCCCATCCAACCTGGCCTTGAACACTTCCAGGGATCCAGGGGCAGCCACAGCTTCTCTGGGCAACTGGCCCTTACCACCCTCATTGTAAAAAATTTCTTTTTCAAGTCTAATCTAAATGTCCTCTCTGTCAGTAGGAAACCATTTCTCTGTCGTCCTGGCACTCCAGGCTTCTGTCCAGGAAAGCTGCTTTATCTGCAGCACACCTGGAATTAAATCCCTGCAAATAAATACAGCAGTTTGGTTTAGGCTGGGCCTTAAATTTAATGGACAGGTTATGCAAGTGATTCTTGGGAATATGTGGGGGCACATCCTTGCCATCAGTCACAGCGTTCTTATCTCCTTGGCAGCTCCCTTAAATCAGCCAGGCACGTATTTTCATCATTTGGATCTTGGGTTTTTTCAGTTTTAGGTTTTAAAACAATCATTCGGATCTTGTTCTTGTAGTTTGGGCTTTTGAAACAGTTCTTTGGATGTTGTTTTTGTAGTTTGAGGCTCTGAAACAATTCACCTTCTTACCCACATTGCAAGAAATTTTGCACAGTATTTCCTTAAATTTAGGCACAATTCTTCAAGGATTTGTGGAGCTGTAGCTGCCGAACTTTTCCCACTTGCAGCTGATGCTCGGACTGGTGATTTTCGAGGTGCCTCCAGCAGTTTTGGGGAGAGCAAGGCAAACTCCTGCCAGCAGTGAAAAGCCAATTGGAAAGCAGGATGTGGCTCTGCCGGGGTGTGGGGGGGAAGCAGCGGAACACGAATTACGCTTCAGGAGAAATTAAAGGCCGTTCCACCCTGCTCACAATTGATCATTCCTAGATACAGAGAATCAACAGTTTCCTGTAGCCCGCTCCAGAGGCACACACGTGCACGCCTGCCGCCACAAAACACGGCATCCAAGTCCTGGCCCAGCCCCTGCCCAGACGACTTTTTTCTTCAAGGGGACGAGGAGAAAAGCTGGATGCTGGCGCCAAGGATATTCCAGGGAGAGTAGCGTCCAGAGACAAGTGGTCTGGGCTTGAATGGGTATCACTCTGCACACAATAGTCACATTTCCTCACATTAATACCAAGGTCCTTTTTATGTCTCGAGGCACAATGCTGACCCACGCGTTCCATCTGATAACTCCTGTTTTAGCAGTTTGATGTCAGAGTGGGATGTTGGGCTCCCGAGGCTTCCTACCCTCTAATGGAAAGTGGATATAGCGATTGTGTGCCGGGGAGGGGACGGCCTCCCTCCGAATTTCCTGACCAGGGTGTTTTCAAAGCGCTGCTTAGGAAGCTGAGGGAGGTGTGGGGGGAGCACGGGTGCTTCTGCACGGAGACAGCGGCCTCCCTTCTCCATGCTTCACCTTGGGGCTTTGGAGCAGCTAAATCCACCCCTGTGGGATTTAGAGTGCATGAAAAAAAATGCACATTTTTACCCTGCTCCAGATTGATTGACAGAACCTACCGCAGGTGAAATATTCGTGAAATATTTTTCATGAAATCTTCGGCTTTCATAGCACGTGGGTGTGACAAGTGACACCTTGCCCCTAGTCAGTCTCTGTGCTGTCCCCTCTCTTCCCAGTTCCCCTCCCAGGAGTGTGAGGGATGGTTCTCCACCTGCCCTGCTGTTTTTGCTGTTCCACAACCCTTTTTCCCACCTGCCTGGCGATTTGTGGGATGAACCCAGCAGACTTCAGGCTCTTTGCCTCAGCTCAGCTCATCACCTGTTGTGGGAATGTGGGATAATGAAGGCACAGTTATTTATCCAACAATATTTAACCAAAATTACTCAAATCTGATGGTGCTTAATCCAAACTCAGGACAGCAAAGCAAAGAATCCCTCTGAGATCCTGTTTGTGCAATCCCTCGCTGCCAGCGGTGTGTTAGAGGTGTCACCACAGCTCCTGAAAAAACTCCTGTCATGCCATGTGGTGATGGGATTTTATTTAAATATTTTTAAGGCAGATTTGAAAAGCAGAACAGTTTTTTTTCCTGCTTGCACTGTGGTTTGACACAAGTGGCTGAGTCTCAGATTTAGGCAGACCCCTGATAGAAAAAACAAAGGTAAATTGTTTGGGTTTTTTTTAGTAATAAGCCCTCAAAACCATAAATGCTTCCACTCACACCAGATCCGTGATCTTTTTCAGTGAAAAACATGAAAGTTTTAATACAGTATTCTGCTCAGATTTGTTTTACAGTGCTTATATATATTTACTGTGAAGGTGCACCAGGGAGTGTTTGTAGATCTAAAGAAATGTGCACAGCCAAAAAGCTCTTTTTCTCTAATTTCCACTCCCTTTATCTCAAAATAAAATACTGTCTTAAGATGCTGCAGGCATCCAGTGGTGGCTTTGCTCCAAAGGCTTTTGGATCTTCTCAGGTGTTAAGGGCAGCACTGGGGACCTGGATGAGGAAAAGGATGGAAAGGGATCCTGGGTGAAAGGAGATCTCTTAAGGCAAAAGGTGAAAAGCCTTAAACTTTGGTATTTGACTTTCAGGGGTTTGTTTCCAGGCTTGCATGGCAGATGTTGTTACCTAAGCAGGGGGTGGAGGGGAAGCAAGGTGGGGATTTTGTTTCTCTGGGTTGCTCTCAGGGATATTATTAGGCAGCTGGGATGAAACGGGGCAAATAACTTCCAAGCATTAAATCTCCTCGTTCGTGTTGAAGTTGGACAGGGCCTGTTTGGAGAATAAAAAGGAGAAACAGGGTCCTGAGTGTGCCACGAGTTGTGATGGTGACAATTCCTCGGCGTTGTCAGGACTGAGCTCTCTGGGAGTCGCTCGTGGCGTTCCCAGTAACGCTCCGTGCCTGTGTGCACGCATCCCAGAAACTCGGGATGCGCGTGGCGCCTTGATGTGCCTGCCAGGGGATGTCGGGGATGCGTTGCTGACTTTTTGGCTTTTCCCCTGGGCAGGACCTGGAGCAGAGCCCAACAGATAAGCTCATCCACCCCTGGCAGCTCTCCCTCAGCTGTGTGTGAGGACACACAATAATGCCCCTTGCTCGCTCGCTTGCCTAAAATAGGCCTTTGCTGCCTGCTCTGTCCAGCATGGAGGGCCACAAAAATAGACGTGGAAATTTCACGTGGTCCCGACCTCCTCGCAGACTTGAATTGTGCTTAATTGTGACATTCGGGTGTGAAATCTCAAATTACTGAGATTTTCAAGTTACTGCTCTTGGTAGTAAGACCTGGCTGAGGGGATTGATGGGGAGTTTCTTGTAGGATGAATCCAGGGTTTTCTGTATCCATGTTGTCTCCATGAAGGGCTCCTCTGTGGAGGTGCAAGGGCCAAGGCTGTTGAGTCTTTTTACAGCCTCCTTGGCTGGAGGGAGGCAGGGATGATGCTGTGGAGGAGAAGATAATGAGTGGCAGGCTGGTGGTGATTGAACTTGAGCTTTGGATGTATCATGGGCAACCTCCTGCAGGGTTTGATCCTACATTGCCCAGCAGGAAATAGATGGATATTTATTGTGAGCAAGGCAGAAGAGCACTTGAGAAGTCTCTGTGTATTTTTCCCTTCCCTTTGTCATGTTCCAGTGGATTTGCTGCTATCCCTGAGTGATGTTGTAGCACTCCAGTGAGCGTTTAAGGTACCAGCCCAGAGCTGGGATGGCCATATCTGTCCACCTCCCTGCCTGGATTAAATTCAAGCTATGTGTTGTTGGGATGAATGATGAATGAGGCTCTGGGCTTTCCAAAGCACCACCTCCATACCCAGAACAGCTTTTTTGAGAAGTTTGGAAGATCCTGCTCCAACAGATGCAATGAGATGTTTTTGCTTGTGTTGATAAAGCAGCACTTGGTGCTCCTCCAGCTGGGTACGTGAGAGAGCTGTCAGCAAAGATTGATACACCTTGAAAATGATAAGAGGAACCAAGAGTTGCTGATAAAAGCACAAGAATTTCTCTTCCATTTCCATGTATCCATGAGGACAGGCTGTAGCTCTCTCTTCAGCATGTGCCTGCTATTGTTCAGGATTGTGGGTGTTTTTTGTCTCTCCAGAACTATTTCTTGCAAAAGCAGATAAACCAAAACATGTTTTCTCCTCAATGAATATTTATGGGCTTCCAAATCTTCCTGCATACTTCTGCATGTGTAATTAGGCTGGAAGTTGGGTAAGTGAGCATTGGAGAACTACAGATGTGAAGAGCCTGGGGAAAATGCTTGATGTTTCTGGTTTATTTGGGTGCTTGCTTTTTAATAATAAATTGCACTTTTTAGATGAAACAGCTTGTGTTTTCCAAAAGGCGCATCAAAAGCAGGAATAACTGGGGCTGTTGCAGCAGCAGACTTGTCTGGTTAAGTGATGCTTTTAATCACATGTGCAGCATCCAAGTGAAATTTGGGAGAAGTTGGGTGATGTAACCGAAGCCTCTGAACCACCTCATTTTGTTTAGGGGGAGATGAAGTCAGTCCTTTCCCTCTTTTCTACAGCTCTGCTCCCACTTCAAGTTGGAGCCTTTGAACCCCATTGAGGGCAAAACTCAAATTTCTGTTTGAGTAGCAATGATTTTGTTTAAAGCATGTTTCAGCATGCAAAAGATAATTGGGTTTTTTTGGAGTTCTGGAGTTTTAATGTGAGTTGAACCCTCAGATTATTTTTTGGAGAGCAGCAGGGCTTGGCTTGAAGGTGCACGGCCAAGTCATGGGATTGCAGCAGCTCTTACAGGTTAGGATTTGGAATTAGAGATCTGGAAAAGAAGCAAAACCTTCATCTGAATAACTGTAACTCCGTGTTACATCTCTGTAGTTTTCCACAGCTTGGCCTCTGGAAAAGTTTTGGTCTTCAGTGGGTTTTTCCATGCTGCTGCTGCACTCGTTCAAATTAAAGCTGTTCATGTGTTTCATTTTGGTAGCAGCTCAGGCTTTTGGAGGGTTTTTTTGAGAACTTAAAGAGAAGGATTCCAGGCTGGAAGTGTTCAAGGCAGGTTGGATGGGGCTTGGAGCAGCCTGGTCAAGTGGAAGGTGACCTCGATGGTCTTTGAGATCCCTTCCAACCCAAACCGTTCTGTGATTCTCTGCACAAAAAGTACCTGTGGGACAAATAATGCCAGAGAGAGGCTGCCTTGGCTGCAAGGAGTGGACTTTTGGCAAATACAGCTTGATTTTGTTTTGTTTTGTAGCTGATACCCAAAAATGCTTTGTAGTTACTCTAAGAAAATGTTATTGTTGGCTCTTGGAAGTTTGAAGTGGGAATTTCCCGGGTTCCCCCATCCTGTGTATTCAATGACATTTACTAGTCCCTAAACAGCAGTTTTCTTTCCCAAGAGCTGTGTTGCTTTCTCCTCAGATTTATGGAGGCAGCGTGGTGAGTTGACAGGACATTAATGTGCTCATCTTGGAGTCGCTGCCTGCAATCCCTTGGAAGTGCCTGGCTGTTATTGTTGACTCCTTAACGAGGACAAGGAGGGTTTCCAAACGAGGGTGACTCATGAAATCGTAGCCTCAATCTATCAAACAACGATGCATTGGATTAAATGATTACTTCAAGGATTAGGAGTTAGATTTTTGGGGAGGTGGAGAGGGAGGGAGAGAAGGGAAGAGTAAAAATATATCAGAGTTACAAAAACCTGGCCAAAAAAAGCTGCAAGACACAATCCCCTAGTGATCAGATAATGCCAATCCAAGCGTGCTTGGTTCACACTTCCAAAATGGGAGATATTGTAAAAACTGAATCTCTGCTTTTCTCTAGAGATCATCCCCTGCCAAGAGAGTGATGCTTCACCTCCTCCTGAGCCTCCTGCTCAGCTCCTGCTGCCTGTCAGGTACCTCTGATAGTAACACTCTTCTGATGTGGGTTTTTTTTTTCCTTCTTTCCAGCTGAAAGTGAAGGTTCTGGCTGCGTGTTACTGCACACATCAAGGAAGGTAAGTAGAGTGCTGTGTAACCAGTTTGGTTTTTCATCATCCAGAAGTACAGAAAAGGAGCATGAAGCACACTGAGGGGCTGCTTGTCACTGGCCTAAGCAAAGGCATTTAAATGCTTCTTCCTTTTAATTCCTCTCCCTTTCTTTAAACCTAAAACGCCATGTGCTGCTCATTCTCAGAACAATTTCTCTGTAATTCTGATTGTTCCACTGCTTTTTGTCCCAGACAATTCCTTGACATGTTAATTCATCACTTTCTCTTCTGCAGCTGCCTCCACAGGGATCCAAGTGTGTGCTGTAGAGGTCCTGAGCTCCTCTGGAGCTGGAAACAGAGACACACAGCAGACATGGCTGGAATTTGCTTCCCTCTTTATTCCAGCTAATCAGTCGTCCTTCATGAGGTTCAGCAGGAGTGAAATCCCTGGAAACAAGCAGGCTAGGAGGAGGATTAGGAGCCCACACTTAGTTTACACTTGCTCCTGAGACTGTAGCTCACTAATGATAAGGTGAAAGTGCAAAAAAAGCCTTTGTTATTCCAAACCTTCAGCGATGGAAGGGTACAGAAAGTATTCAGGGAGGAGTTGGGTTGGTGTTTTAATGACTTCCCTGTGAGGGTGGGGAGACCCTGGCACAGGGTGCCCAGTGAAGCTGTGACTGCCCCTGGGTCTCTGGAAGTGTCCAAGGCTGTGTTGGAGCAACAGGACTTGGAGCAATCTGGGATAGTGAAGATGTCCCTGCCTGTGGCAGGGATGGCACTGGGTGATCTTTGACGTTCCTTCCAACCCAACACATTCTTTAATTCTCTGATTCTGCATTTAGTACCACATGAAGTTTTGCCTTTAGGGTTGTGAGGCTTGTGATGCATTAAGTTGTCTTGACTTCTTGCCTGAGGGCTGGAAGGCTGTTGTCATGGGAATTTGTAGCATCACTGATCTTGGTAAATCACAGAATCGTTCAGGTTGGAAAAACCCTCTAAGGTCACCAAATCCAACCATTCCCCCAGCACTGCCAAGGCCACCACTGACATGTCCCCAAGTGCCACATCCACATGGCTTTTAAATCCCTCCAGGGATGGGGACTCCACCACAGCCCTGGGCAGTTGTTCCAGTGCCTGAGATCTTGGATTTCAGGCTTTGTTGCAGGTTGTAACTTGAGGTTTTAATTTGTGTAGCCTTGTAAGCTTTGGGGCTTTTTAGGGAATCCCAGAGAGCTCTTTAATTCTGCTTTGCTTTAGGACTCCAAGACAGCTCAAATCCTGAAAAGATATTTCAGAAGGCTGAATTAGTAGTGGGAGGAAATGTGTGATAGCTTTAGAAACTTTTCCCCCCAAGTTAACAAAAGACCCCAAAGGAAATAAATACCAAAGAAAACACTACCCAAAACAAATCCAACACCAAAAAAAGATTAAACATTGTTTGGTATAGAATCATGGAAAGTTAAAATAAGCAATTCCATGCTCAGGAATGAAAATGTCTTTATCCCTAATTTGTCTTGTCTAATCCCAGTGCCAAGGTTCTCAGTCATACACACTTGACTGAAAGTAACCTGAGAACTTAATCACTTAAAAGTGCAAATTCTAAGCCCAAATGCAGGATCTGCCTCTGATAAGAAATAGTTGGAAACTGCTAACTCATAAGTGTCTCTTCTATTTTGTTTTTCCTTTTCAGAGCTATAGGATTCTTGCTTTTTCTGGCCTACAGTTCATGCTTGAGCATTTTAGTGTGCTGTGGAGCCACAAATACCAGAGAGCTTTAGCAAGGCTTGAGAAAAAGGCACTTTTGCCAGTTTTTCCCTCCGGGGAGGATGAGTGGAAATTTTGTTCTTCAAATGCGAAGGAAATTGGGATCTGACTCATGGAGGAGATGGCTCCACGTGTCTGGGAAAGGGGAATCACCAGCAGAGAAGTGAGAAGCTTTGTCTGGAGAGGTTTCCCTGTAGGTTGTCCCTGTCTCTGGTGGAAGCCTGTGGTTCTGGAAGGGCAGTTTGTGTCTCAGGCAATTTGCTGTCTGGCAGGGCACTTGGTGGGCAGGAATAAAGGTTCTTCACACAGATTGAGCTGTTTCATCACCATCACAGAGTGGTTCTGAGGGAATTGGCCCAAAGGACCATGGCAGCAGCCCAGGCAGAGCTCTGCTCAGGAGAATAGCATTTTTTGGACACCACAAGAAATTTGCCAGTGACTCTAAGTGAAGGTGTCTCCTGAGTAGCCGGCCAAGAGAGAGCTTGCATTTTGAGCCTTGTTGATAAGTTAGAATGTGTGATTTTGACGTGCCTGAGGTCAGGGGAGGCTGTTTCAGTGTTTCCCCCCCTTTTTTTTGGCACAATATCCTCTGTTCCTGTCATGGTGCATCGTGGAGCTTTGCAATCAAGGATGCCCAGAACTGGTCAAATGACTCTTTGGTAGCTGACTTGGGTTTCTTCCTAAGCAGTTTCCAGCATCAAGTTTCCAGCATCAAGTTTCCTGGTGTGACTTGACTATCCAGCTAAAAATATTAGTGAGGGAGCATTCATTAATCTCCCCTGAACCCGGTGGGGGTCCTGGCTGGAACAGTTGTGCCTGAGCTGTTGCTGAGGCTTTGCTGTGCCAGTGCTTCCAATAATTTGATTTTGGTGTGTCTCAGGGAGTGATGGATTTCTCTCCTTTCATGGTGGCTGCTTGCCTTGTGATGTTTAATGTGTATAAAGCCTCTTTAAGCTCAGAGAGTAGATTTAGATTGGGTGTTACAGATGCTCCCTTGTGAGGGTGCTGAGGCCCTGGCACAGGGTGCCCAGAGAAGCTGTGGCTGCCCCTGGATCCCTGCCAGTGCCCATGGCCAGGTTGGACAGGGCTTGGAGCACCCTGGGCTAGTGGAAGGTGTCCCTGGCTATGGCAGGGGTTGGAACTGGATGAACTTTGAGTTCCCTTCCAACCCAAACCATTCCATGACTCTATAATGCCTTCTCTAATCTCAGGGAGTGATAATAATGATAAATGGATGATAAATATGAGTCTTCCCCCTATTTCCTATAAAGGAGCAACAGCAGGGAAATGAAACAGCCATGAGGCATGGGAAGTTGTTTTCCCAAGGCATTGCTTGAAGCCTGTGGCTCAGCTGCCTTGCAATGAGCTGCTGCTGGTGCTGTCAGGCACAGCTCAGTGCAGGATCAGTTGTTGATTGAGATGAACTGGAGCCTTCCAGTGCCTGAAGGGAGCTACAAGAAAGATAGGAAGAGATAACTTATAATAGTCTGGAGTGACAGGGCAAGGGGAAATTGCTTCAGACTGAAATAAAGTAGGTTTAGACTGGATATTAGGAAAAAATTCTTTATCATGAAGATGGTGAGGCCCTGGCACAGCTTGCCCAGAGAAGCTGTGTCTGCCCCACCCTGGAAGTGTCCAAGGCGGGGTTGGATAGTGCTCTGAACAGCCTGGGATAGTGGAAGGGTGTGGAAGGGGATGGAACTAGATAATCTTTGAGGTTCCATAAACCCAAACCATTCTGTGATTCTGTAATCTGGGCAGATAACCCACATAAATGCCTTTGATTAATTTTTTGCTGTCCCTCACCTTTCTCCTTCTGCTGTTCTGCTTCTGGTTGCTTCTCTCGTGCAGAAGTTGGTGACACAAAGCCACCTTTGCTATTTTGCAAATTCTTGTTACAGGTGTGTGTTCATCTGTCTCACTTTGAGACAGCCTCACTGCTTGCACTTCTGAGGTGGAGCTGGAGCTGTGTCACTGTCTCCTCTCCTACGAGCAGATGGTTCCAAAGCCTTGGGGGTGGGAGCTGAAACGCTTCAGAGAATCTTCCCTCTCAAGGATGCTGTGGAAAGAGTGATTGATGCAAAGTAAAACAGTGCTAATTGCAATGGATGTGTACTGACAACTTGATAGTTGCTGTGATAATTACAGTAATTAGGGAGATGTTAGCATTTTTTTGCCTGTGTCTATAAATGGAAAAGGTAAGAGAGAGTGTGTATGGAAGGAGATGACCCATGAATCAGGCTCTGGGGTGGCCCTGTACCCTGGGGGGAACGTGGCATGGTCCTGGCTGGGGAAGCAGCTGAGGATCAGATTTGTGAAAGCAATTCAGAGCTTGGTTCTTCCTGAGCTTGAGGGGAGCTGAGGGTTTCAATGTCTCTTGACAGTCTGGTTCTCAGCATCACAAATTGAGCCTGGCAGCTTTCCCATGGGAAGGAAGATCCATAGAACAGCTCAGTTCCCATTTCCCCACTCAGGCTGTTGAAGGAGAGGGCCAGGACTGCCAGCCCTCCTTGTCCAGTGCTTGTGTGTGGATTTCCAAGGACTGTGCAATGGGAACGAGGCATTTGTAGTTTGATCATTCAATTAATCACCTTCCCAGCTGACAGGTACAGAAAGGAGTTGAGGTTCTGGAACACATGTCGCAGACAGGTAGAAAAATTCTAAAAGAAAAACCTCATAAAATCAGGTCTGCTCTGCTAAATTAATAGCTGACCTATCACTTCTAAGTGCAGCTAAGTACTTTGCAAGTTCTCATGCAAAAACATCTTGAAAATGAGAGTTTGTTAACACAACAGTCTATTTCTAGGGTAAAAAACAAGTGCACCTATATAAACAATAAGATAAGTCCCATAAGAATCAGTGAAGAAAATATGTAAACAATTCAAGAATAGAGAGATTTGATAGACAAGTAAAATACCTTTTTAGTAACCAATAGAGTAATTAGCAAGAAAGCTATTAACCAGTTAAAGTTGCCCATGTGGGCTATAAAAACTGCATAAAATGAGTTGTGTGAATAAAGAATTCACTTTTCCTGCATGAAGAAATTGAGTGCCAGCACACTGGGGCTGTCTCTTCCATCTCAAGGCCACTAAGTCTGAGACAGCAGAAGGAACCAGCAGAGAGCTGGGATAGTTTCAGCCTCTGCTGTCTTTTTATTATTATTGCTTTGAAGCAAAACCTACAAAGGAAGAAAACTTCCATGGAAGTGGAAAGAACAGAAATTTAGCAAATATCAGAAAAGGTGATGGGCTAGATGGCATTCCCCACCTCCCACTTCAGGCTCCCTAAGTGGGAGCATGGTTCCCAGTTTGAGGACATGTGGATTGACTTGGCACTGAGATTCATACTGGTGATTTTTCATGCTGCTAAGCTCAGTGTCCATTTCTCCCAAATAACTTTCCCATATTTTTTTCAAACTTCCTGAATTACTTGAACCTAAAGAAGATTTTAAATGCTACCTTAAGTATTTTTGCTTTTAGACCAACTTGTTCTAGGCTAAAAAAAAAACCAAAAAAAACCCCAACCAACTACAAAAACTTTTTGTTTTTTTATGTTCTGCTTTCTATGGTAAAAAAAAAAAAAAAAAGGAACCAAAAAAAAACCAAACCCAACCAACTACGAAAAACTTTTTTTTTTTAATATTCTGCTTTCTGTGTCAGGGTGGAAATGGTACCTGGGAATTCACTCTGTGAGCACTCTGTTAGGATAAGCCTTGAAAATACAAACCTTCAATGCATTAATGCATAAAATGTCTTTTTTCCTGTGATCTGAATGGCCAATAGAATCTTTGATTGCAGCATGACCTCAGCAAAACTTCTTGTGAAGGACGCAAATTCTACTTTGCTGGTTTTGTGTACATCTGTCTCATGCTCTGACCTTTTCTCAACACAGTACCTGAAATTAAAGAATTTTGAGGAGGAGGTCAGAGCCCAGCGAGACCTGGATGGCTTCTTGGCCAGAGCCAGCATCATCCTGGATGAAACGGCCACGTCCTTGGACGATGTTCTCCGGGAAATGCTGAAACACTTCGCCGAGGATCCTGAGAACATGGAGCCCAGCTGCAACTTCGAAAAAATCATGAGCACTTTATTCACAGATTCAGGGACCCCACGGGAAGGGAACGGTAATCAGCTCTTGGTTGCTTTAGCTGGTGGGCTGCTCTTCATTTGCCATCCTTGCCATGGTGGGGTGCTGGACAATCACTGTGTGGTCTCCAGGCTTGCATGTTGCATGTGATCCCATGGGTCATTTTTTTTTCCATGTCACTCAAACTGAAGGGCCTCATTTCTCCAGAGTTTTTGTGTTTTGGTGGAGCCTTGCCCCTGTTTCATTAGGATCACCCATTGTGGTGCTCTCTGGGGTGAGGAGTCAGCAGCACTGGGGTGTCTTGTCTGTGTGGACCCTTTTGGTTTGCTTGTCCTTGTCAGCAATGGCTCCTTTGCCTTGTGATTCTCCACCTGAATTCACACAGGCTGGGGAATTTTGCCTGCTTTGGATGAGTAATTGGGGAGTATTGATCATTTGTATTGATCACTCCCAGCCCATTGGAGGAGATTGGAGACGCTTGATTTTCCTCCAGAAACGCAACTGGGGCAGCCCTAGCCAAGGTTGTTGGCTGGGTATCACCTTAAGCTGTGAACAAATCTTGTAGTGTAGTCCAAAAAATGCTGCCTTTTAGCCCAAGATGTGAAGAAGCTTAACTGAGCATTGTTTCTCTGTAGGCACCCCTGATGGTTCAGAGTCAACAGGAACGAATGTACAAACATGTCCATCGCACTTCAAATGTAACTGTCACAGCCTGAGTGAATTTGTTTAACAGATATGTCAAGTCCTGAGCATGTAGTAAGCATGTTCATGCTTTGGTTACTTCTTGCTACCTGTCTTAGAGCTTCGCATTCGTAATCCCTTTAATTTAGGCTTTCTGCCAATAAAGAACAAAAAGTAAGTAGTGCTGTAAAATAGTGTGAGAGCAGTAGCTGGGAAGAGGGGGAGAGAGGGCAGGGGATTGGGAAGGTGACTCCCCTCCCAGTCCTGTCTGTGTGTGTGTGGTGGATAATGCTAATCTAATAACCCAGTACTGCAGTAGGATGATGATGGGAGGAGAAAGCAGCTGCCTTTCTAAGCTGTGAATAGTTTAAGGACTCAGTTCAAAAGCAGCAGGACAAATGTTTCCATCTCTCTGTGTCAGCCCCCACCCCTGCATCAGTCCACTGGGCAGATAGGAATGCTTGGGATTAGTAGTCAGCTCCCATTTAGAAAGAAATGTTATTTACAGCTGCAGAATAAATGAGGACAGCCTGTGATGTTTCCTTCTCTTCTCTTCCCAGTTCACCTTTTATCAGACACAATTCAAGGGGTCACAGCCACAGTCACGGGGGTGCAGTATCAGCAGTCCTGGCTCTGTATCATGTAAGTACCTGTGTTGGATGAGCAAAATCCCTGACATCCAAACCTTTTCCTGCTGCTGGGAGGAGCAGAGGTTCAGAATGTACCCTTTTGGGTTAAGATGGTGGTGCTTGTTCCATCCATCCTGTGAGATCTGTCTCTCTCTGGGCTGCTTCTCTTTGCAAACACATGCAGTAGGTGACCACAGCCCCTCCAGGGCATTCAGCTCTTGGATGTTATAGAAATCTGCTGTTAACAAGCTAAGAATGCTGAAAAAATGAGCCAGAAAATGCTAATTACTGAGAAATGCTAATAAAGGAACTTCTCAAAGGGACAAGCAAACTGGTTCATGGACTGCTTTGCCTGCCAAAGTCTGGCAGCCTGGACCAAAAGATTTCTTAGGTCCTTTGATGGAACCATCCAAACTTTGTAGCTGAAAATTGAAGTCAGACATTCCACACTATTTAGACACTGATTACTTTGTCTGACAATTAATTTGGACGCTGATTAATTGTCAACACTGTTAAACATTGAAGGAGCAGGCCCTTAAGAACTCTGTCACCTGGAATTTATGAGATGTGGTGGCTTCACCCCAGCTTGCACTTGACCAGAGCTGGGGTTTGAAGTTATTGTCTTCAAGTCAGGCCTGAGGGGTGAGCCAGGCTGTCCCTTCACAGGGGACAGGCCAGAGCCTGAGTCCCTGAGCCAGCCAAAGCAGTGCCTTTTTGACTCTTTTGCTTTATTCCTGTGCAGTCTTAAAGTCAGAGTTGTCAAGAAATATGTTAATTCCCAAAGAAATGGCTGGGATATGTGGGATAGGTGCCTAAAGGCATGCACATATTTTAGCCTTCACAGCCGGTTTGCTGGGACAACTGTCACAATAGTTTTCCTTCTGCTTGCACTTCTTCTCCTGCCCTCTGCTTATGGCTGGGGAAAGTGGAGAGAAAGAGGATTGAAAAAAAAAATCAAAAAGGAGACAACACAATCAACAAACAAGGAGAGATCTCCCCCTCGTTTTGAATCTGTTATGAAAGAGAAGGATGTGATCTTCATGTGAAAAAGAAGTGATGGCATATCAGGGCTGTGTCCTGAGAGAGAAGAGAGCTGGATGATTTTGTGCTTTTTATGCTACTTTTTTATACCTGGCACTTACAGAGCAGGACCACAATGAACAAAACTAGTTTAGAAAGTAAAATGGTGTCAACCAAGAGGACTTTTGGGCAGTTTTCTCCACTTTGGATGCCACAGGAAAGGGTAACAGCAGTAAGGACATGTAGGTGCTGCTGATGCAGAGGATGGAAGTTGATCCTCTGGGGTGAGGCAGCTCTTTGGAGGGTTTTGGGGAGTGTTGCCTTAACACCAAAGCATTTTAAAGGTCAGGATACAAATGCTGTGATTACATACATGAGACTGAAAAGGGTGGGTTCAGCCTGTTAGGAAAGTGAGCCAGAGCTTTAAATGCATCCATGTGAGTAATCCTGGCTTCCATGACAAGAGATGATTTAAAAAATAAGCTCACAGCCTGAAGGTGTCTTGTGCAAAACTTTCCTTGTTTCTTCCTTTTGTTGCTCTGAAGAGGGAGAAGAAAGTGGTGGGAAAGCAATGATGAGTTATTAACTATAATTATCTAATTATTGCACTGTATTTCTGCTGGAGTTATTGTGCAACAGATTGTGAACCATATTTTTAGATCTTACATTTTTCTTGAAGTCAGATTGCAAAACAGCTTCCAAACCTCTGAAGTAAAAGGAATTTGTTGATGAAAAAATTTGCCATATGAGTGGGAAGAACCTTTAAGATATCTGCTATTCTTTATCCTTGCATTTGGTCTGTACTCTTTGCTAAATTTTAAATTAGCACTGCTTGGTTGGTGCACCTTAACCAACTTTTAATTCTTGGTGGATGAGATAAAATTGATATAATAAGATTATATTAATGAGGAGGAAGAGCTCATAGATAAGGTTTTGATGGTATTGCTTCTGCATAGATGATGAGGGGAAATATTAACAGCTGAAATTAGTTTGGGATGAGAAAGGAAGGAATTTTGTAGGATATTCACTGAGTTGTGCAGAGCCTGGCTGCAGAAGAGCATTCCTAATGGAGACAGAAATGTGTTTCCCTCTCCTTTGTGCTGGAAACAAGGCTCTTATTTTTTATCTGATTTATCCTCTGTGAGAAAAGCAGTGGGGAAAACCTGGGGTTGAAATAGTTGTTCTGCTTCTGTTGGATTTGGTGCTTTCCTGATGGTTTCAGGTCTAGGGAAGCTCCAGTAAGGTCAGACATTCCATATGGAGCTGGGCTTCAGCCACAGGGCAGAACAAACCCTTGAGAAACTGAAGATCTCAAGGTTTCAATGTTCCAGTGAAGTCCAGGAAAAAAACTGAATTCTGATTCACTGCAGGCTTTGGGGGTGGTTTTGTCAGGAATGCCCAAAACCTGATCTTGCTCAGGCCATACCAGAATACATCAGCTTATGGAAAACTTGGGATTCTTCTGTTAAAATGAGAGCTGAGAGTATCAAAGCCTTTCATGCCCCAGTGACCAGCAGGGTCCAGCTCTGGAAGAATGAAGGTTTCCATTTGTGTACATGGTCATTTCCTAACTAGAAAGCAAATCTTGAGAGTTGTAGATGAGCTTCATCAGCCCAGGACAAGATTTCATATCTTTGAAACCATGGACACAACTCTTTATTCCTCCATTTGCCAGAACAGGAAGACACAAACTGGCCCAGAGATCTCTGCTTCCCTGGGAGGCTGCTGCTGGTTGTTTCCTTGGAGAACCTGGGATGAGGGGTAGTCCTGTCCCAGAGTGGGGAGTGCTGGACTGTTTTCCTCAGTTATTTAAGTGAGGAAGCTCAGCTGCTGGCAGGACCTGCAGCATGGAATGACTGAAGCAGGCAGAGGTGCTGCCAGGAGGGTGCTTGGAACTCCCCCTGAAGCACCCAGACCTGCCATGATCCCAGCACAGAGGGGTAAATGGGATGTTTTCCATGTCTGGACTGGGAAAAATAGGCAGGAAGCTCCAGTGGGAGCTGCTGGTTTTGGTGTTGCAGTTTTGTGCCTCAAAAAGGCCAAGAAACCCCTCCTTATCCCATGAAGAGGTGACTCGATCACAAGCCAAGTCCTGTCACACCCCATTCCTTCTTTAACTGCCTGACAAATGAAGATGACAATGCCTGATTTTTAATTTTTTCCTCTTGGAGTGAAGGATATATGATTTTAACATGGCTTAACTGGATGCTGGTGGATTTTTCTCCCTCATGTACTGCTAGGAAAAACATCAGCTTGGTGGGTTATGGAACAAATATCCCTGAGCTGATGGAACTCCCCAGGCATCCCAGCTTCCAGGCTGTGTTCTCCCTGCCAGCAGATTGATATAACTGCTGATTTCCAGAGCTGAATCCTTAGAAAAATGTGAAACAAGCTGCTCCATAGTCTGGATGGAGTAGTTGTAGAGCCATTTCTTCTGGCTGGATTGCTAAGGCACATGGACTGAGCATTAAACTGATTTCCTAAAGCTGTTCTAACAGGCAGAGCAGAGGGGGAAAAAGCCTCTCTGCAAGCAAAGAGTGGTTCAGTGGTTTGTGTGCTCTGTGTTGCTATAGAATTTCTGCCTTTGATGTAGCCTGCTGTGGCAGTGACTCCTGTGGAGGAGTTTAACTCAGGAAAAACCCAGGTAGCCTCTCAAAAATAGGTATTGTGAGATGATACTGGATAACCAGCAAGGCTGCTGTTGAGATAATCAAAATTTGAGGAGTAAGATCTCAAATTTAATGTATTACTGTGAAAGATGTGACTGGTGTCTCTCTCAACAGAAGTAATGCAAGTCTATTTTGTGTGTTTAAGGATTTTTTCCAGACCCAGGGGTCTGTGGGTTTCTAGAAGAGTCACATTGTCTCTGATTTAGCTGTTGAATAGATTTCAAATAGAGATGCTTCACTTGCTGTCTCTTCCTCAGATTATTCTTTTAAAGGGCAAAATGGGAAATTAAAACAGTTGGACTGCTTAAAACAAATATTTTCATTTAGAGGAATGATTACAAGATTTGGAGCCTGGTAAGCAAGAGCCTCTTCTCCAGAGTTTACAACCATCATCTCTCAAGTGTTCTTTGGGCTCAGAGAACCATATAATTTTTTTAAGGGCCTCTCCACCCTTTTTGGGTTTTCCCAGATTATGCTGGAGAGCTGAAGCTCTTGCAGGTGCTGTTTTATGAAAAAAAAAAACCCTCAAATTCAACCTCTGCATTAGGAATTTGCGTCCCGAAGAAGAAAGATGACTTGTTTTGCTACCTGCAGGATGTGTACAGGGATGAGATGTCTCCTTATAGAATCATGAAGGTTGGAAAAGTCCAACCCTTAACACAGCACCACCGTGTTCACCTCTAAACCATGGCCCCAGTGCCACAGCCAACATCTGGCAAAGGTTCTTTGAATTCAGAGAACCAATTAGTTTTCTTTTAAGGGCCTCTCCCCCCATGCTGGGCCCTCCCAGGTGGTGCTGGAGAGCTCCTGCAGGTGCTGTACCATGGAAATACACACTGACCTGGAGGAAATCCTTCCCCCTGGAGAGGATGAGTCTTCCTGGAGCCCAGCAAGGTGCATTTCCCAGGCCAGAAGGACTTCCAGCCTGGAGTGGGGGTGTTGTGGCTGAGACCAGCCCTTGCCAAGCTGTGGGTGAGCTGCCTGGCCTGGCCACAGCTTCGTTCCTCACTTGCAGATCCTGGTTTCTCAAAGCTGGTGCCTGGAGCTGCTCAGCAAAGGAAGATTTATTGGCAGTGGTTGAGAACAAGAAGTGTCATTGTTGTTCTGTGTGGGGACAGGAAAAGGCTGGCTGGCTGATTACCTCTGCTGGGCACTTTTTCATACTGCAAGGGATAATTTGTTTCTGAATTAACTTCCTTTCTTGCCCTTTTAAAAGAGGGTTTCTGTTTCTCTTAGGTCTCCATAATTTGACCCTTTTTATGGTTTGGTTGAGCAATGTGTTATTACTCTGATAACATCTTGGGTGTGGGGCGGACCTGGGGCACGTGGGACTCGGTGGATCTGGGATTTTGGTGGAGCACTGCCAGTTCTCACCATCCCAGTGCCACCCTCAGCACCACCAGAGGCAGAGAGGAGCACAGGGAAGCAGAATTTGTGCTATAATTTAAATGCCCTTTTTACGAGCTCAATTATTGGGGGATCAAGATAAAACTGCTGAGAACACAACCTGGCATCTCATTAAATCATAGTCCAGCATTTCCTGGGCTGACTAATACTGGGTGAAAATAGATTTTTCAGCTTTCTGGCCAAACCAAGGGAGAATCAAATGTAGCTCAGCTCAAACCAAAAAAGAACTTGGAGGCTTTGACCAAACCAGATTTGATTTAGAGTCATCTGAAAATGTCTTGCTAGTTCTTAGTGTTTTGGGGCTTTGGCTATTTACCCTCCAGCTTTTAATTTTTTTTCTTAGTGGGAATTTGTTTAAGTGCTACTTTAAAAAAAAAAAAAAAAGTTGTTTCATTTTGAAAGTGACTTTCTTCTTGGCCTGAGCTGTGCTGACTTTTACCTGCAGTATTGCTTGACTTGGGATTTCTCCATGTGAACCAAGGAACTTTTTTTGTGTGTGTGTGTGTGTCTTTTACAAATATTTGCACAATTCTAGTTGGAATTGCAGTTTTGGTTTGCATTGTATTTGTATCTGGATTCTGGCATGAAAACAAAAGTGGGAACTGTAACTGCTACACCAGGGAATAGAATTTGAGGCAGCTAAATAATGGCTTAAATTTGAAGAAAAGCTTGAGCTGCTGAATGATGCATCGGCAGGAGTGACTTGGCCTTGCACTGGAAGTATTGAAACATCATTTTTTCCTCAAATAAATGGATATAACAGAGGGAGAGCAGACTGAGATGAGGCTGAATTCTGTGCTGTTCCTCCCCTCCATGCAGCCAGGCTCAGGTACATCCCATCTTCTCTGTGGCACCTGTTTAAATCTGGTTTTAATCAGGTTTGTCCTCACTAAATCAACTCCAGCCTGATTTGTAAAGGTGTTATTGATATAAATGATTTGTACATTGACCTAAGTGTTGGAAATTCTCAATTTTACTGGTGTGATATTGGGATTTAGATCCAGGTGTCAGTGTCCATACAGTTCTTTACAGAGGAGCTGGAGGAGACTCTCAAAGTGTGAGAAACCTCAAACTCCAGCACTCTGGATAAAACTGAGGCAAAAAGGGTTGAAAAAGACTGTGAATTTCTTGGTGTCTTGTCAATATGCTCTGTGTGAAATCTTTCAGTACTGTGGGATCCTCTTCTTGCCCAGTCCCTCAGCTTAAGGGAACAGTGAACTCCTGACTAAGAGAAGCACAGATTTTTGGTGGCTGCCAAATTATGAAAATTATCTTATTATTATCTCATATTATTATTATGAGAGAAACCCAATAGCAAAGCTCAGTTTTTTACAGTCCAGTTTTCCCTCTGTACCCAAGAAGCTCTTGAGCTGAAGTGGGATTGTGGCACTTCTGGCAGGACTCCTGTCTCTGGAGAACACAGTCCTGGAGACAATTCATGGAGCTGAAACATAACCCTGTCACTACAGGGAGAAAGAAAATTCCAGAACATGTAGCTTGCTTTGTTATTGCACTTTACAATAGGCTTTTCCAAATTGCTTTGTACATGAGTGGTTTCTTGCTTGGTCAGGTCCTGCCTGGTGCACGTGGTAGGGAAGGGATGATGTCTAGGAAGTGTTGGTACAGCTCTGTGAGCCACAGGTGCTGATACCTGCTGCTGGCCATGTCTGGGGTAGAAATGATGTCCAAAATTCCCAGCAAACCTTCCTCTTCAAAAGAGATTATTCTATGAGCTTGATGCCTCGTGTTTCAGCTTTTTTAATTTTTCAGATTCTGTGCTGCTTTAGTGTGTGGGTCTGAGGTTCATATCAGGGGGTGGGGAGCTCTCTGCACAGAGCAGGGAGACAAAACAATTCCTGCTCCAGCTGGGCACCAAGGACAAATGATGCAAATCTCAGGCTCAAGAGCACAAACACCGTGGGCTGGAGAGAGAAAAACAAGAAGGATGGGACTGGATGGGCTAAAGCTGGGATTGGACAATTAACTCCAAGATGCAAAAGATAAGAGACCTCGTGAGCAGTTGTGCATTTTGGGACAATTTTGGTTCACCTTGGGTGCAGCCCTGCTTGGGCTCTTGTGCTGCCCAAGGTGGATCCATTGAGGCCATTTAATGAATCCCTGCTTTAGCTCTGTCCAGCCTCTGTTCCAGGTCAGCCTTCACAAGGCATCAAGCTCAGCAGCTGAGGTGTGCAAATGCTGAGAACTGAGCTCAGAATTAATGCTGATGGTGCAGTAATCATTCACTGCTGGTGACCAGGTGGGTGAAGGTGAGAGAACTGAAGGTGTTGGGCCACTTGAAGGTTCTGCAGTTGGTCCAAAGCCCAGAGTTATGTCCCCTCTGGCTTGTTGAACTGCAACACATGGATACTTGTCTGCTGTCCAGCCACAGCTGGATTGCAACCAGGGGCTTGGCTTTGGTTGTGAAAACAAGTGTTGCTTGCACTCTATTTTCAATTACTTCAAAAGATATTTATTCCTCACCTTATGACCTGCCTTGATCTTTCTCTCTTCCAAAGCTGATTCAAGTACAAAAAGAACAAGAGGCTGTGGTGAAGGGAAGTTAGGAAATAAATGAAACAGTGTCATCTTTCTCATGCCCTGTATTGTTCTAATTAAGCTGTTTGGTTGCTCTCAGACAAGTGTCTCTATGAGATTAATTTATAGAAGCAGGCTGCTTCCAGTCTGAGATCAGGAAGTCAAACTCAGTAAGAAAATACTTGGTGTGATTTCTAATTTTTTTTTTATGCAAATAGTGAAAAACTTGATAGAAAATAAAATGTAGTCCAGACTAGGACATCTCCAGCCAAAGATTTTATTAATGGAACAGCCCTCAGGGTGCATGGGTGGTGAGAATACATCTTAAAATGAAAGAAATAAGATGGGATTATGGAAGAGAAATTAGAGAAATAAATGCTCCTGTTGGAGGACTGTGATAGGTGCTTGTTAGATGAACAAAAGTGAACAAGCAGCTGAAACAACTTTGAACCAGGTAAAAAGAGAGTAATACATAATAATAACTCTGAGGTAGGAAAACACTTCCATATCTCTTCCAGGTGTCTGTAGGCAAACTCTGTGTGCATTTTTCACCAGCGGTTTACAGAAGGGTTGGGAAGTGGTTGGTGGCTTTAAAGGGAACAGGAGAGCTGCATGCCAGGCTGGCATTACCCCCCTGGTGCCTCTGCAGCAAGCCCCAAAATTCCCAGCAGGAAAAGTGGCAGCTAAACAGGTCCCAGCTCTGGTTAAATATCCCAGGGTGGAGACAAACCTGGTCTTTCACAGCCTCTGGAGATGATCCCTGTGTTTATTGCACGCAGCTTTTTTTTGCTAGTCTTGATTCTGGGAGTCAAACATCCATCCCATCCCCTGGATCACAGCCAAGGATTTCCCTCCAAGCACTAATCCCATCTCTGTGGTTCTTGAGCAGGGAGGTCAGCCTGGTTTCTTTAACACTTGGGAGCCAGAAAGGGGAAAACAACAGCTGGGAGCAAACGGGAAAAACCATTACAACAGAGAGGTCTGCCTGAGGCAGAAGTGGGAGTATATGGGCTTGGCATTTTGCCTTAGTGTTTCCAGAAGCACCTTGGGAGATCAGGTGAAATGAAGTGTAATTTGCTTTCCAATAATGAAGGTGTTTTTTAATAAGAGGCTTTTTGTGTGTGTGTGTGTGTAGAAGCTTCTGTAGCTCTGCAAGTACTCAGTGTGTTGTGCTCTCTGTCATTTGTTTTCTTGGCTGTTAAAAAGCAGCTGGAGGAAAAGGCAGAATACACCTTGAAATCTTGAAAGGTATTTCCCATAAAAACATGGATGTCAAATTGTACAGAAGGGAGCAGAATTGGGCTGATAGTAACTAAAAGTTTAAGACTTCAGAAGTCTTCAGCCAACAACATCACGTGTTTCTCAAAGGGGAAATGTGTTTTTATAGCCTGTGCACCAGGGGAGATCATTCGTGCTGTTGTGGGGCCCAGTCTCACAATCCCATTTTCCTCCACAGTTGCACTATAAAGTCCCTTCAGCGACGTCACGTTTGCATCAGCCGCCTGGAGAGGCCTCAGAACTGGGGGGAGAACTCCTGTGAAGTCAGATTTGTGATACTGGTCCTGGCTCCTCCCAAGATGGTGAGTTTTGTTCTTCTTTCTCCATAACTTCAGGAGTTTCTCCTGAGTTTGCTTTTCCTTGAGCTCCTCCAAGGGTTAATAAGTGTTGTTTTTAAAACACAAGGGGATGTGAAAAGGCCTCAGGTCTCCTTAGCAGCTGTCAAGATGATTTATCCTGTTGGTGAGGAGTGGATTGGTGGGCTGTGTGTTTGTCTCATGGCCTGTATCCTGATGGGGAGGAGAACACTCTGTAGTCCCCACACACACCTGGGATGCCCTTAACACTCCATGGATTCTCCTCTCCAGCTGGAGCTGCTATTTTTAGAAGTAAGAAATGCAGTTTCTTGCTAAAGCCAAGCTTTTGAAAGGCCCTTGTGAGCCTACAGCTGGTGCCTCAGGGCAAAGGTCTGGGTTGCTTCCCAACAAACTTCCCTAATGGGGCTGACATTTACCCTGCACGTGTGGCTGCAGCAGCTGGAGGTGATGTAGTCAAGAGGAAGATGATTCTTTTTTGAGCTCTGTTGCAGTGAGGGTGAGACTTTCTGGGAGCTGTGGTGATTTTAAGGTCAACCTGTCCCTGAGGCTCTTTGGGCCTTTCAGAGCTTTTAGCACTCAAAACAGCAAGGTTAAAGCTTGCTCAGGTTCTGGTTCTTTGGTGTGGACAAGAATGGCACAGTAGAACACTTTTACTGTAATCAGAATATCCTGAGTGGGGAGGGACCCACAAGGATCATCCAAATCTGCCTCTGATATCATGGGGTGCATCAAGCCCTGCACGTGTGGCTGCAGCAGCTGGAGGTGATGTAGCCAAGAGGAAGATGACTCTTTTTTGAGCTCTGTTGCAGTGAGGGTGAGACTTTCTGGGAGCTGTGGTGATTTTAAGGTCAACCTGTCCCTGAGGCTCTTTGGGCCTTTCAGAGCTTTTAGCACTCAAAACAGCAAGGTTAAAGCTTGCTCAGGTTCTTGTTCTTTGGTGTGGACAAGAATGGCACAGTAGAACACTTTTACTGTAATCAGAATATCCTGAGTGGGAAGGGACCCACAAGGATCATCCAAATGTGCCTCTGATATCGTGGGGTGCATCAAAGTTAATTGGGGATCACCATCCTGTCTTCCTAGAAAGCCCTGGTCTGACCAAGGTGGTTCTTCCAGCTGATGGCTGAATAGTTCAAAGCTCAAGACCTTTTCACACTCCAGCTGGCTGTTTACACCTTGGGGCTGCTGGGTCTGTGCTCCTGGGAGGTGCTGGAGAGCTTGGGGACCTTTCCTGGGACAGGATATGTCCTGATTCAATTTCCTGCTCTTCAATGCTATCTGTGTGACCTTGGGACCTGCTGGTCTGGCCTGTCTCCTCCCCCCCTTCACCACCACCCACATTTAAATGGGAATACTGGTGTTTCCTTCTTTCCCAGGATTTCTGGCAGGTCTTTCCCAACCGAGCCGCTCGATGCTTTTGGCATCGACCTCGAAGCCAACAGGCTGAAAACATATTGATGTTCCTTGTGCAAAGCAGGAGGGAGAACACCTGGAGCTGTGTGCAGCTCCATGCATCTCTCCCTCATTGTTATCTCGGGCCAGCTACGTGCAAAGCGCCCGGCGAACGGCTCCGCATCCGCTCGGATGCCGAGAGTTTGCAATTCCAATGGTCAGCATCAAATTAAGGGAAGGGAGTGGAGGCCAACAGAGCTTGCACTTGCCAATGTGCTTTTTTTATTTTAAATGGGTTGGTGGAGCCAGCCCCAAGTGCGCATTTCTGGTGCAGCAGTTAAAATAATTAACCTGCTGACAGCAACACATTCAACAGAGGGGGGAAAGTCCACAAAATGGGCATTTATTATGCTGGGAAATCAGATTCTTGGCTTTGCTAATATGGAGGAAGGGGAAGAAAAAGAGTTTTCCTGCAAATATCTATCCTCTCTAAACTGTTCATCTCTTTTGTAAAGGAAAAATGGGAAGAGCATTGGGAATGTTGAAGCAATCCTTGCAGCATCCAGCCCAAGGATTGTTGCTGCTTAGAGGTGAAAGGTGGAGCCTCCTCTGTGATGGCAAATCCAGGCTGGTTCACAGACTTTAAAAGCAAGTCCCAGGCAAAATCCTTCACCTAAATCCAAACCTCTCCCTAGAAACTTAAATTGAATGTGCCCTAGTGAGTGTTTGAAGGGACATTCCTGGTGATGGAATCCTAGAATGGTTTGTGTTGGGAGGGACACTTAACACAATCTCATTCCAATGTCTGCCATGTTCAGGGACACCTTCCACTGTCCCAGTTGCTCCAAGTCCCATCCAACCTGGCCTTGAACACTTCAAGGCTGGGGCAGCTGCAATTTTTTGGAGCAAATGGAAGATGGGGCAGTCACAATTTTTCTGAGCAAATGGCAGAGAGGAGGGTGATGTGGGTGATGGAGGAAGTCAGCAATGACTCTGGGACCAGCTCAGTGCCACCCACGCCTGCGCTTCTGCGTCACCCACACTGAATTATTTGGTTGTGTCCATGGAGAAATTGTTCATCTGTTCGGTTGTGAATCATGAGAAGCAATTGGGATCAATCGCAGATGCTCACTCTTCTTTTCACAGCAGACTGAGGAGCTTGGAGGTTCTCCAGGGCTGGGGAATGTTTGGGTGTCTCTGGTAGCTGCTGCATGATGAGTGTGGAGTGTAGAAGAGGTGGGTGGGTTAAAACTTGGCATCAGAAGGAGCTTTTAATGAGCTGTTCTGTGTAATTTAGTCTTGGCAAGTATCTTACCTGTCCTGGCCACAGTAGGAGCAGGTCAGGGCCTGGAGAGCTTGGATTTGGTGGGTTTGTGCAGGAATGGGGACCTTGGCCTCCTTCACTCTTCCCTTTGCATTTCATTTCCTGCAGAAGGAAAGCAGTTTGGATTCTGTTGGAAGCTGGACCCTCACAGATCAGGCTTGTGTCTCACAGAAATATTAAATCCTGAAAATAAGCACTTTTTTCTGTCTGCAAGACTCCTGTCCCTTCCAAACATTTAGTGGGGACAGACAAGAGCTCCTTATGTGTGTTCCCAGCTGTTTCTTTCCCATCCTTTCCTCTGTGCCAGTGGTTACTTGAGCTGAGAGCTCTCAGTCTCCACTTGTGCTGCCAGAATTGCCCCAGAGTGGCCAAATGAATTGTTTTAATGCCCTGAAAATAGGAATCAGATGAGCACATTAATCTCAGTCTTTCAGATAAGATATCAGTACCTGCAGAAACCTTTCCACCCCAGGAGCAGCAATGCTGAGGTGCTGTTAAGTAGAAAAGATTTTTTGTCTTGTCTTGAAGGGAAACCAGGGATGAAATGCACTCTCAGCATGATTCAGCTTTGGATTGGTTTCTGGGAAGTTGATCAAGCAAAGATCAATCAGGGAGGGCTTCAGGACCTGTGTTGGTGCCTCCAGAGGATTCTGCTGTGGATGTGTGTTCATCTGCAACAGCTTCCACATGTGCCCTCCTCCCTCGGGTCTCTCTTGAATCCTGAGAGCTGGGCAGGTTCCTCTTCAGAGGGATAAATTAAGGGATTTACCTTTCAGAAGTGACATTAAATGGTTTCACTAGCACTTTTTCTGTCTTTTTTTTTTTTTCCCTGCTTAGAAAAGCACCAAAACGGCCACAGAAGTTGGCAGGACCTTTGCCACGATGTTTTCAGACATAACCTTCCGGCAGAAGCTTCTGGAAACCAAAACTGAGGAGGAGTTCAAGGAGGCCTTGGTGCACCAACGCCACTTGCTGACGGTGGCTAATCAGAGGCCCTCAGGAATGAAAGATGGGCACAAGTCACACGGTAACAAACAACTCAAGGTAAGGCTTGGCCAGCACCTCTGCCCTGCCCTGGTGTCCAAATCCATCCATCCAAGGGCATTTGGGGTGAGGAGGTGAACACTTGAGGCCAGTGGATGCAGCAGCATTCCCAGCAAGCTCCCAACACCAAGGCTTCCCCAAACTTCTGCTGTGTGCACATCCACCTTCCTCAGAATCTGCTGTAAATCTCCAGAAAGCCACTTTAAAGAGGCAGGTGCTGAAGGGATGCAGAGCACTTGGGGGTTGAAATGGTTACAGGACTTTGATTCCAAATGCTCAGTCTAGGGTGGGATTAATGGATCCCTGCTCCTTGTCAGCCCAAGGTACTTAATCCTTACAATCAGAAGGCTCTGAAGGAAGCTGCTGCTTGTCTTTCCTGCAGCCAAAAGGCTTCTTGGCCATCTCTGCACGGTAATTTCACTTAAAAGTTGTCTGTCAGTATTTGGCCTGAATTCTCCCTGTTTGATCTGTAGCTCTGTAAAACATTACTTGCTTTGTACTTTAAAGTTGGAGGGAAATGCTGTAACTCAGCTTTCTTTTCTGGAATTTCCTGTGTGTTGGTCATTGCTTTGTTTTTCCGTTCAGAAATCCATTCTTTAAGCAGACAGCATACCTGAAAAACAAACTTTGCCATCTCCAGCATGCTGCTCCTGTCCCTGAATTACAAATAGCACCAAAGTTTTGGGTTGCTTATAGTGCAGGAGCTGCTTCACTTATCACTTTTTTTCCCCACCCTGGAATAGATTTAAGGGGTTTGATCTGCACATCTGGAAATGAGCAAAGCTCATGTTTTTCCTGTGGAATCCCCTTGCTTATAGGTAGTGCTTTGAACTTTGCTAGACCCCATATCTGCTCTTAAATTTGCAGAACAAGTCCTGAAACCCTCTTGAAACCCAGGTCGTGCAAGGCAGGGATATTTGGAGTAGTAATTCACCTCAAGTAGGTTTAACCCTCCACACCTGGCCTTTCAAATGAATTTTTGTTAGAGCAGTTGAAGTGTCTGACTTTGTCTTTTGCTAAAAATAGCAATAAAATGTCTCCAGAGGGTTTTCTGCTCTGTGGTTTGGTGAGGAGCGCTGGATGAGACACTGAGCTTGTAGATTTTGGCCCTGAGACTGGTGATTCCTGCTGGCCTGCTTGGAAAAGCAGCCTTGGCCAGGCAGAATCCTGATTTCTCCAAGCCAGTGCTATAGAGGGTGACACTTCTTCCTTCAGCTCTTGCTTTTGGCATTGACAGTTGTGGGCTTGGATTTGCTGAAGTGTTGTTTTTTTTAAAAAACGTTTTATTCTTGAACTCTTGGGAAATGCAGCCTCTGTATCCCCACCTCGCCCTGCCAGCCCAGAGTTGGGAAAGGAGATTTCCTGGCAAGTCAAGGTTTGCCTGGAGAAGTGAGGTTGATTTGAGCTCCTAGGCTGGATTGCTCAGCTCCTGAGAGCCATCTCCAGCATCTCCTCCCTTGTGGAGAGGAAGCATTTAATATGAGCACAAACCCATGTGAGACCAGGAATGTAATTTCAACCTGTCAGCCACCCCCAGAGAAATAAACACCCTCACTGGAGCCCCTGGACCATGGCAAGTGAGCTCTCAGGAAGGTGTAAAGTCTCTGGGTGACATGAAAACCTGGCCTCCTGAGTCCTGCAGTGATGGGAGAGGAAACAGGCCTTAAATTCTGGATGTGAGTGGGATTTTTGCAAGTGCTTGTTTTCACCTCTGCTGAAATACTGAGGGGGATGTGACAGTCACATTCCCTGCTGTGCCTACAGCACCGTCACTTTGCCTTGGCTCATCTCAGAGGATTATTTAGGCAAGGCTATGTACTCAATCATAATTAAGTCAGCCTGAAATCCTCTTGTTTACTGAGGCATCTAATTGTGATTTTGTTCATGGAGGAGCCCCTAACAGCTGTGATGTTTTTCTGGCTGTGATTTTGTGTCCTGTGTGGATTTGCTGAGGGGGCTGTGTGTGCTCAGCATCAACAGGAGGATGTTGTGGTTTTGCACAAACTCATGTCCCTGATCTCTGTAAAATACTCCTGCAGCCCCCCAGCACTTTTGGGGAGGGCTGAGGAAGGGTCAGAGTTGTTGGAGCACATTTTTTCTGTTTGGCTTTGTAGCTGCTAAGTGCTGGCTTATCCTCTTCCTCTAACCCAAATAATGGCAAGAAGCTGGGAGAGATTTGTAGAATGCAAAGTGGAAAAATTAATGATCTTCATCTATTTGGCTAGGTTGAGGGATAAAAGTGAAACCAAAAAGGGCTGTAACTTTGGAGGCCGGTAAACTTAGTCTTTTACATTTTGTATTTTTTTGTATCTTTTGTAACTCAGTCTTTTAGCAGCCTCCTACTGTAAGGAGGGCTGGAGAGGGTGTGGAGTGGCAGGAGAGGGGGGAATGGCATTAAGCTGAAAGAGGTAGATTTAGATAGGGTATTAGGAAGAAATCCTTCTGGCACAGGGTGCCCAGAGAAGCTGTGGCTGCCCCTGGATCCCTGGAAGAGTCCAAGGCCAGCTTGGATAGGGCTTGAAGCCACCTGGGCCAGTGGAAGGTGTCCCTGCCTGTGGACCTGGGGGGGCTTTGAGGTCCCTTCCAGCCCAAACCATTCTGTGATTCTGTGATATCTCTGGTGCAGCCCAGGTTGAGTCTGAGGGTAGAGAGCAGAGAGGAAAGCTCACAAGAGGATCAGCCCAACAGAAGGAACAGCTTTTCCTACTGGTGAGGTTCCACTGACACCCCCTCTCCTGATTTCACACTCACACACACAAGAAACAAGTGCATGAAAAAATCAGGGCATGTCTTAAACATAACCCTGGTGCCTTGTGGAATGAGTTAGGCAGTGCTTTCCTCCTCTGCACACTCCCAGCTGCCTGGAACAGGCTTTGTTGCCCAGAGCCCCCTCCCTGCTGCCCCAGGCCAGCAGCAGCCACGCTCCTCCTTCCCTGGAAGATGAGACACCCTGAGCATCCTTTTCCCCGTGCTCACTGCAGCATGATAAGTAAACATCCCAGTCTGAGGCCATTGTGATTCTCTGGCTGACTCATGCCTTCAGGAATCTCGTTCTGGGGGGAAAAATTAAATTGCTTTTCGAGTGCATCTGGCTTTGATGTCCAACTCTGCCACCAAATATGGTTGAAGCGCAGAGATTTTTCGGAAATGCTTCAAATGCAGATGTTTTGCTGGTGTCTGCTGGCAACACATCTGTCTGCTCATCCTGGTTGTTCAGGTTAGAGTTGAAACTGTTCTGAAGTTTCAAAAAGTCCTACAGGTGCATTGGCAAATTGCAACAGAATTGACTTAAATAGCTGAAATCTGAGGTGCTACAGTCACTGATGAAGGAGCTCGTCCTCTTTTGCACCCCAAACCCAGTGATGGCTGTGCCCAGTGTATTCCTTCTAAAGGAGAAGATCCCCTTCCTTATTTTGTTTGTGATTCTGATTTTCCAGGTGCTGCAAACAGGTGAGTCCCAGGAGAGAAGGCAAAGCTGTGTGTAGTCCATTAAATGAGCACTGTACCTTTCTAAAGCAGTCATTTTTATCAGTTTCCACATGAAGCAGCCAAAGGAAGAGCTCCCTGCTGCTTTGAGATGATCTGTCGGTGTAAACTTTGTGTCTGTGATTTTTATTTCCTCCCCTACACTCCCTAGCAGAGGTTATAACTCTTCTGTGCCTGGTTTTGCAACAAATACATGAAATGTTTTAGCTGAGGCAGCTGGGGTTGTTATCACTGCATAAAGGTGCATTTGATTTTCAGAGTGGTTTGTGTGCTCTGAGAGTAACAGGAAAAAATCTGACAGGTGCCTCATTTGTAAGTGTTGCCTACCCTGATGCTTTCCATGTGCTTTCCATAAGGAAGGAGTTGTGAGGATTGGGAGGCTGAGAGTCAATAGCAGCTGTCACATATTCCTGACAAGCTCCTCATTGCCTGTGGCGAGCAGCAGATCCTGTCAGCAATCCCACTGCACCTTGCAGGCCCCCAAACCAGGAATAAAAGGGAACATGCTGAATTTTTGGAACCCTTCTCCAGTGTTTTTATTGTGCTTTAAGAGCAGAAATTATGGCTTGTTTGCGTGGATTTATTCAAACTTTTCCCTGTTGATGGAGCTTGAGGTGCAGACAGCTTGAGTTCCCTCACTTGTCTTTGAGGTCTTCCTTTGCCGTGGCAATGCCAAGGAAGAAGCCGTTGCTGGGGATTCTCTTTCAGAGGTTTCACATGGATTTAGGGGAATTTTTGTGCTGGCATCTAAAGGAAAAGTTGTGTGGAAGGATGGGGAAGGCACCTCAGACATGTTTGACCCCAGGGCACCCAATGTCTGATCCATCCAGTGGATCCTCAGCTCCCTCACCTGCAAAACAGGGATGCAGATAGGAATGGGAGGGGGAAAAGGGAAGGAAGGGAGGAAAACAGGGTGGTCTGGGGGATTTTCTCCTTTACAATGCTATGAGGATATAAATTGAATCCCGGCGAGTTTATTTTTATTATCATGACAAGATGGGATTTTGAATGCCCTATTGAAAACGAGCCCTCTCGCTCCTATCAGGGTTGAATAAGGAGCTTAATCTCTTTAACAATGCATGAGCCTTTACACTGACACAGCACTTCCTTCCTTTCTTCAGCTGCACGACTTTCTCAATATTGGCAAGGGGATTTCTGATGACATTGCACGAAGATTCCCAGTGTATGCGCTGGACTTCACCGATGGTACGTTGGCCAATGTTTATGGAAGCGCTGCCCCGAGTGGGGATTTTTTTTTTGTGATGTGATGTCCTGTTTACAGTGTGCATTCAATGTGTGCTTTGATATGTGTAACAGCTCTCCCGGCCCTCGTTTAAAAGGGTGTTTTGGCAAAAGGCTGTGAATGGGCAGCGTGGAGCACTAGAGATGAGGCTCCTGCAGCGTTTCCTTAATGAAGGTGCTGGCTGTGCGCGGATGAGGATTTTAATTTTTATTAAGCGGTGATTAAATGGATCGATTATCGTCGTGTGTAGACTCAGATCAACTCCTTGCAATCTAATTACTCAGCACTGGCCTGATAGGCCCTTTCTGCTGCCTCTGCAAGGTAGCTCCACACTAATTATGGTGATACTGTGGGAGTTGAGAATGCTTAAACAAAATGTGAGCTGCAGTAACTTCAGCCCGGTGTTGTGAAAAACAGGATACGGCTCGTCCGCTGCCGCCAGATCACAGGAGCAGCACACAGTGTTTATAGTGAGCCTCGGCTTGGTGCAGCTCCCACAGTGGCCTTGGGGTTTTTAAGAGTTGTTTTCTCCCTTTTCACTCACAGACTTTCACTTTCTTGAAGGCTGGGCGGAATCTTCAGGGCAAAGCGGGATTACAGAGCCCCAGCCTGACACCAAAACGTGTTTCCTGCAGTTTGTTGGGGAGCTGCTTAATATATTCAATCTCATACCTGGAAAGTTCAAATAAAACAGAGAATTAAAGTGTAGGCAGGGAGAACCTCGGAGATTTATCAGATGAATCAGGAATTTATCCCTTCCTGCTGTTAAATTCACCTTAGCTCAAGTGTGTCCCTGCCTTCCTCAGTGCACAAGTGCTGTGAAGGCTCATGAGATGAGGGTGATCTTCCTTGAATTAGGCATAAAAAAAACAGGATTCCCTCCCAAACCCCAATTTTCGGAGTCTTCTCTTGCAAAGCCACCTTCCACAGGCAGCTTAGGCTTCAGAGAAGCCTGGCCAAGGCTGTGATGTGTGTTCTCACTCCCTTCCAACCAGCAGAGGAACATGAATGAGATGTTGGCTTAGCCCAGGGCTTGAGTGCTGGGTGCTCTCTCCAGGTGCTTTGGCACTGCTGGGATGAAGCTATTTTCAAGAGACTCAGTGTGATGGGAGGGCTAATGCTGATTTCTCTGGGTATTTGAGGAGCACAGGGGATATAAATTGATTTTCAGGGGAGCAGCAAGGATTTGGATAAAACAGAAACATTAATTTTTGGTGTGTGCATCACCGGCATCAGGTCTGGCAGGGCACTTCAGCCCCTAATCTGGACACTTCATCCCTTTGGCTGTTGCTTTCTAGAGCTGTCAAAGGCTCATTTTTCATTATAAAGGGATATTGAAGCACTTGAGAAGGGAACTGCTGCAGAAGTGCCTTGTTCACCTCAATACAGAGCAGTATCTGCTGTGCCTGTCTGAGCCCAGCAGGCACAGAAAGACCAGATTTTAGTCCTGTAGCAAATTTTGGCTGTCAGCAGACTTGGAAGCCCCTCTCAGAGTCTATATTGTGGCTCTGACTGCATCCATATGGACCCTGTGGGTGCTACCTCAGCCCTGGGCTCTTGGCTGTGAGCTCTGCAGGCTTTGCACACATTGATGTACAGAATGAGCATAAAATTGGGATAAAATGCAACCACAGGTTAAAAACTGTCAGTGTTTTGTAATACAGCTTCTGGAGAGTGAAAAAGAGCCCAGTGAAACTCCAGAACAACTTCAGCTCAAATGGGAGGTTCTCACTGTAGGAGCAGTTGTGCCCTTTCAATAGGAAATGGGGGAAAAGGGGATTTTCTAAAAAAGTACTGTATGTTAGTATGGCCATTTCTTCCCAGAAACCAGAAATTAGGATGAATTCTTTAAGGAACTGCTTGAAATGAAAAGCAGATGGAGCATGAAGCATCTGCCATAAACCACTGAGACTGAAGGTGATCAGGAATGTGGAATTCCTGGAGCATCTCAAAGCAGTGGTGCATCAGAACATGAGGGATTTGAACTATCCCAGTATCTGCACTCCAGACAGCCACATGTGCACCATCAAAGAGCTTGGAATTACAAATGCTGGGCTTTGAATGGTTGGAGTCTCTAAATCCTCAACCTGAGAAGCATCCTGGGGTTTGGGGTTAGACAGATAAACCCATCAGGGGCAGGGTGATAAATAATGAGGCTTTTTGTAGGACCTGCAAATCTTTGCCTAGTTGGAGTTTTGTGGGATTGGTCCTCTTCACACACTGCACAAATTATCCTTAAAGGAAAAGTCTTTCTTTTTTTCCCCCCCTTTTACTCCAGATTAGGAACTCATCAACTTCATTCTGTGGCAAAGTCTTGTGCATTTTACTGAATGGGTCAAAGGATCAAGGAAGAGTTTTCTAAACTTTTTTCCCAGGATTTTGGTGATAAAGATGACTTTAATAGATGTCTTCCAGCAGGAGCATCTGAAGATGAAGAACTGGGTTATGCTGAGTCTGAGAATCCTGAAGTTTTCGTTTAAACTGGAAAACTACTCCTGTAGTTTTCCTTCAAACTTACTCCATTTGGCTGTAACCTGTGTGTAGGATTCTATCTTAAAAAACACCAGTGTGGCTGAGCTTCTTCCTGATCCTGTCAAATTGGCTCAAAGCACTTGTGTGTCAATTTTATTACTCTTTAAGCCTCAAACTGAGCTTCCAGAAATTTCTTTATATTGAGGCTGGTTTGAGTGAAAGGGGATTCTGCCGGGACTCAGATACAAGATTTCTGAAACTCCTGAAAGCTGCTGTCCTCATTCTTCAGTGTTATTTTCTGGTACAACACAGAGGACCAGACACAATTGCAGTGCCTGAAGTGCCCAGTGGGAAATGTGAGGTGCCTGAGATTTTTATGGTGAGCTTTGATGCTGACATCCGTATTCCTTCACCTCCTGGGGAGGGAAAATGAAGGAATAAGAGAAGAACTGAGGTTTATTCTTTATCTCTGTTTTTTTCTGGGCCTGTGTCTTTGATACCTGGCTGTGGTGGGTGGGTAGTTCTGCTGGAAGTGTGGATTTCTCCCTGTCCTTGGTCCTGCAGAGGGTCCCTAACCAGCTTCTGAAGTGCAGGATTTGCTGTGGTGTTTTGCAGGAGGGAGATCTCCAAAGCTCCCTGCGATGTGGGCATGCTTAGATGGAAGGCTTGAAAGTGTTGGAGAAATTTGATTTGAAAGAGAACTTTTTTGTTTTGCTGGCTGTCTAAGGTAGCTAAGAGCTTAAACCTTGATCTGAACCCTGAGCTGAAATGTTGACCATGGACTGGCTTTGGTATGTGCCAAATCCTCATCAGCTTTCCTGCCTGGTTGCCTTCTCTATCAGGATTCCATTCCTGGGGAAGGAGGGAAATGAAGGGATTGCAGATTCCTTCTCTTCCGTGCCTCTCCTGCCCTAGATCAGATATGAGAGGCTGCATCACTCTGCAGCCCTTCATCCCTAAATATCACCTGAGTACCAAAGTGTAACATCCTGAACTTGTCATGATTGCCCAAAACATCCAACCTGGGTTGCTTTGGGGTCTCCTTGTGTCACTGGTGGATGGGAATGTTCTAAAGATGTATAAAAGCATCATGTTTCATCGATGGATGTTTCCTTCCAAGAGACCCAGGATTTCTTGGGAAATGGGCTGAAGAAAGTGAGATGGAAAGGGAAAGGACTGAGCCTTGATCTGATTTTTCATGCCTCTCTGCTCTCAGCATATGCTGGGCTTCTGCTCCAAACTCCCTGAGTGGATTTCCTTTTCCAGTTGAGTTCTTAGTCCCACTTGTTCTGTGATTTACTCTTCACAGGAGTTCAGAGAAGATTCATCTTCCCAACATTGGGCAGAGTCCAGCAACCATCACATAAATGAAAGCCCAGCTTGAGGGCATTAGAAGAAGTTTGTAATTCTGAGTTTTACAGTGTTTTTCATATGAAAATGTTTTTGGTTTGTTTTTGGTTGTTGTTGTTTTTTGTTTTTTTTTAATTAGGGCTTTAATAAACACATTCTTGCTGCTGTGCTGCAGGTCAGTGTAATTAAACTTTCTTTGCACAAGATATTTCAGAGAATTGGGAAGAAACATTAGCAGGCAGTTCAGAGGATGTCCTTCAGTTGTGATTTTGGTTTAGTAAATACACAATTAATAGACTTCAGGAGCTGTAAACCCGGTTTTTAGGGCTGCTGGTCATTAACTTACTGCTTGTGGAATCCCATGCAGAGTGAGGCCAGAATTGCTGCAGTTTCCCCTGAAACTGTAACCTTGTCTCTACAAACTGTGACATTTCAGAAATTCAGGCAGGTAAAATGGAACTGTCACGTTAATGAACATAATTGCTTCCCATTCCAGTGTGTAGCTATACCTTAATTTCAGGGGAATGCTTCTGTAATAATCAGCTACTCAAACTCCACAGCTGGACCGAGAGTTGATTTTTATGCTATTAATTTCCATGGTGCAGGTGGAGTGACACATATTTCAGTGGCTTTATGAGCCTGTCACAGATGAAATGCCATCATAATGCAGATCACTTTCTTCTGAATGAAGCCACGGCAGTCCCAGGGCTACAGAACATCCTGAAAATGTTTCACCAGATGTTGGCTTTAAAAAGGCAGAAAGGTGAATTGTGGTTAATGCTGGATTGTGGTGCCTGTGGCAGGTGGATCTGTACAAGGAGAGGCAATGTTTGGTCGTGACTGCAATTAAAGAGTGAGCAATCAGCTTTGGGAAGGAGTGTGTTTAATCTGGTGTAATTATTGTCTCCATTACAAAGTGAATTTCGCTGCCCACCAGAAGGATTCTTGATCCTAGGATTTTATTTGTCTGATCATGGATTAAAGAAAGTGCTGAAAGTCTTGGACCCAGCCAGGACAAATCACAGAACCACTGAAACTGGAGAAAAACTCCAAGATTGAGTCCAAGCTGTGCCCAGTCCCCACCTTGCCACCAGCCTAGAGCACTGAGTGCCACCTCCAGCTCTTCCTTGGACAGCTCCAGGGGTGGGCACTCACTGCCTCCCTGGACAGCCCATTCCAGTGTTTAACAACCCTTTCCATGAGGAAATTCCTCCTGATGTTCAGCTGAACCTCCCCTGGTGCAGCTTGAGGCCATGTCCTGATGCATAAGGACCTCCATGACCAGCAAGGGCTCCTTTGCCAGGATTGAAATTGAAAATGAGCTTTTGTGATGCTCTTCAAGGTTTCTTCCTTCTGCCCTCTCATACTGTGGTTTAACTACCTGAACCTTTTTAAAAAAGATATTTGCTTCTCTGGACTTGGTTGTCCTTTCAGAAATTATTTCAAAGCTTCCAGGCATCGTTGCCCCTGACCTTTCATATTGGAAAGATTCCCTTGTCCAAAAAGCAATATTTTGGAGTGACAGAGAATCCTCTGAATCAGGGTGTGACTGTCTACTCATGGAACCACACCTCAGCCCTGTTTGTCTTGCCAAATCCTTCCTTTTTTCTAAAGGTTTGGAGCAGATTGGAGTGTGAGGTAGGAGCCTGCAGCTGTTGGGCTCAGGATCACGGGATGTCTTCATCTGTGAGAATTAAATTCCAGGCCCTTTGGGTTGCCAGGAGTGGTCAGGGGAATGTGACCTGTGGTTTCTGGATCTTCCCAATAAATGGAAAGGAATTTGCCTGGGAACAGCTGGTCTGATGACTCCCAAAAGGTCAAGCTCATATTTGCATACTTGAGGTGTCTTTTGTCAGGTTTTAGCCTGGAGTTTGAGGCTGCTGAGCATCAGAAGTGCTGTTTGTGTCTGTTCCTCTCCTGCCTGCAAGCAGGCACCTCACAAGGTGTCCTTTACTCATGTGGCTGCCTGTTCATTACACATCACCTTTGATTTTTGGGTTTTTACATCCTCCTCCCATCCTTATCTCTGCCCTGCAAATGGTGCAGAAAGCAGATGTTAGATAAGATCCCAAAGTCATTGAGAGATTTTTTTGTTCTTTTCATTCTGGTGATAAAGATTTTCAGTGTGGCACCAATAACCTCAAAAGCCAAGCCCTCCTTTATCTGATCCAACTCATTGGGTTTTACCTCTTTCAGCAAGAGACTGATGCTGCAAAAGCTTAGATGGACATTTGGGACTCAGGGCAGATTCCTGAGTGGGAATTCTCTCCTCTGGAGCCTTCCAGAAACGGGAATTGGGCAGATCCAAGCTCTTCCAGCTGTCTCAGAGGAACAGCACCATCAAGGACGGTGGCACAGGCAGGCTGGAGGCTGAGGAGACTTTCTCCAGTGCATCCTCTCTGTTCTGTGGAAAAACTTGTGCTCTCCTGGAGCAACATCAGCTGCTGTCATCTCATCCTTTCTCCCGTGCATCCCCAGTGAGCTCATATCAGCATCAGCCTGAAAACAGGAAGGGGAAGGGAAGCTACTTCAGAGGCTCTTAAATTCATATTCTGACACTTTAATTCTCTTTCTGGCTGCTTTGTGTTTTGGCCTGGTGTGTTTTTTCCGATGGAGATGAGAGGGGTGAGTGGATGGAAAAGAGAGAGGCTGTTCTTTCAGCAGGGCTTGTTAAATCAAATCTCTGTGTAGCCATTCCTGACCTTTAGCCTCTAGGGCTGTTTGTTTTTGTGTCCTACTGCCATTTTTTGGCTCAGGGTAGCATATTATTGATTCAGACCTACAGCCTTAGACTTCTGTCTAGGGAAAAATGAAGTGCTTCATGTTTTCCTGCCCAAGACAAGAATAGGGAAGACAAGAGATTGTCGTGAAGTTCATTAGGGACGCAGTCCAGAATGCCTGAAAAGTTGGTGTTAAAAAGGCAGGGCTGTGGGTTTATGAACCCTAAACTTACAGTTTCTGCCTTGATTCTCTTCCAAGCTCTGCAGACTGACAAAACTGAGCTAAAGGCTTCTTGTATTTCGTGTTCTGATGAGGTCAAAAATGTCTGGTGGCAATTTTGGTGCTACTTCTGGTCCCAGATGAACAGAAGAGTGTGGGTTGTGCAGAATCAAACATTAACAGTTTGGTTACACGTTTAAAGTGTGAACTGAATTTCTGATTCTGAAGATGAACTCTTGGTGCCTATGGCTGATGAGAGGTTTTCAGTGCTTCACCAACGTGATTTTTATTTTTGTGATTTTCCCCAGGTATTATTGGGAACAACAAAGCTATAGGGAAATACATCACAACCATGATCTTTCTGTACTTTGCCTGCCTCCTTCCATCCATTGCCTTTGGATCCCTCAATGATGAAAATACCCGAGGAGCTATTGGTGAGTTCATCAGTTTTGTGCTTCTTAAACTTACCAGTTTGTGCATTTGATTCCATGTATTCAAAGTGTCATTCTAGTCACAGAAAGTTCTGATAGTTTTTATTTGCAGGGGGAAAACAAACCCAAAATCATGACTGAAGGATTTTTTTTTTCTAATTAAGTTCATTACTTTTGTTGAAAACCAGAAAAGCTGAACACTGCTTTGGGTATTATCATCTGACTTGGACTGATGCAGATGTATGCTACTGTATTTTTTAATTATGCTGACTTAAAGTAATTATTTGCACATTTTTCTTGGTACAAGCTCCTGTTCTTTTGACCTGGATTTGATTGCCAGTATTGAAATCCCTAGGACAGAGCTAAACATCATCCTTTATCCCAGTTGTAGAAGCAGTTTGTGCTGCTGTCACAGTTCCAAGAAGCACTGGTTATGTCTTACAGGAGTTAAAATAAAATAAATACATTTAAAATGTATATATAAAATACAACAATACACACAAAAAATCCCAGAGTCCATCAATTAGCTGAACAGCTGGAAACCTAAGTTATGGGTATGAATAAAATGTCACTTTTTGATTTATGAGCGTGTTACCTCTGCACTCTTAACATTTCTTCTCCTCATTAGTGGTTGGTTTCTGTGCCCTGTGAATGCTCCTGGATGAGGCAGGGATTGACCCAAATCCCTGTTATTTGTTTCCATCCTCCCCAATTGCAGATGTGCGGAAGACGATTTTCGGACAGTGCATTGGGGGGCTGCTCTACGCCCTGTTCTCAGGGCAGCCCCTGGTGGTGCTGCTGACCACAGCTCCCTTGGCCCTCTACATCAATGGTGAGTCTGCAGCAGGGGATTGAGGCCTTGGGACTTTGGGTGAGAGCTTTGTAGAGCTGGACTTGGGTTTGTTTGATAAATTGATGTTTAATGGCTGCTGTCAGGGAAGGGTTCTCCCCCCAGAGGGAGGTGGGGCATGGGAAGAAGCTCCCCTGGGAAGTTACAGGGCACAAAGTCAAGGGATGCTTGGACAGGGCTCTCAGGCACATCATGGGGTTGTTGGGGTATCCTGTGTGGGGCTAGGAGTTGGATGGATGATCCTGGGGAATCCCTTCCAGCTCAGGATATTCTGGGAGTCTGCAAAACCTGAATCAAATTCCTCCCCTTTCCATCACCATCAGAATCAGAATATCCTAAATTGGAAGGGACTCACAGGGATCATCGAGACCAGCTCTTGGTTTAGTTCAAACTTTTTTTCTGAAGAAATCATTTTGCAGAGAAAATACTTCATGAAAACAAGCATTTCTTCAGCTTCAGTGAGGAAATCTGTTTAAGTAATGGTTTTCTCATGTGGCTGCATTTAAACAGCTTGAGACAAAGTTTTCCAGGTTTGTTGAGTTTTGGGTTTTTTTAATCAATGTTTTAAAAGTATGATCAGCAGCTTTCCAGGTACTGCAAGCTGATCTCAAGGAACCAGAGATCAGGATCAGCCAAAGGAACAAGCTCAGTATCTGTGGGGATAATCAGAGAATGGGCTATGACCAGCTGGAAAGAGCAGCTGTGACATCCCTTGCTCAACAGCGTCCCAAAATGTCAGTGAGAACAAATTCCAATTGCTTTTGTGGCCTCAATCCCAAGGAAAAATGCTTTGGGCAGTATGGGGAGAGTATTTTTCCAGGTGTCTCTCCCCATTTCTCCCGGTGGGAGGGGAGAACAGTTCCTGTTGATCCAGTGGAAGTGCAGGAATATGGATTTAATGGTATCTGTAAAAAATGCATTGAGGTGAAGTCTTGAAATTGGTTCTTTTTGGCCTGGAGCAGATGGGGATCACTGGGTGGTAGTGACAGGAGCTGATTATGACACATGAATGCTTCACTTTTGCAGTCATCCAAGGAATCTGTGACGACTACAACTTGGATTTCAGTGCTTTCTATGCCTGGATTGGACTCTGGAACAGCTTCTTCCTTGTGATCTACTCCCTCTTTAATGTCAGCCTCCTGATGAAGCTCTTTAAAAGGTAGCTATTTTCAAGAAGTCATATTTTGATCAGATTATTCTTCAAATGGAAAAATTACACATTCCACAAGCTCCTTAATTATGAACTTGCTGCAAAATGTATTTTGTGAGATGAGGAAAATATCATTTTGGCTTATTGTTCCAGCTTGAAAGAAGTTCTGTGATTTACTGGGTTTTTGTTTCTAAGTTGGAGCCTAACTCAAATTGGTGTATTTTCATGTAAATTGATGAATATGCTGATTTTTCTTTGAACAGAGTTGAATGCAGCTCTATTAATTCCTGGGCTTTTTCCACAGGTCAACAGAAGAAATAATTGCACTTTTTATATCCATCACATTTGTGCTTGATGCCATCAAAGGCATTGTTAAAGGTGAGTCTTGCAACAGTGTTTTTCAGAGCAGATCTCTGCTTTGCTGCCTTGTCAAAGGCAAGCACAAGGCTGCAAAAATGTGTGATGTTTGCTTGTTCTGTGTTCAAAGTCTTCAGGGAAAAAAAGAAAATCAATGTGTGTGAGATGGAAGCAACCCTTTGTCAGCAGTTTACCTGGGTGTGCAGAATTTTTAGCAGCTCTAATTTCTGTTGGTTGAGACAGAATTGGTTTCTAAACTTCCACCAAATGGAGAAACCATTATGTTATTGATGTGAGTGCTTCCTCCTGATTCCAGTTTGGTTTTGAATGGTCCTGGCAAAAAAAAAAAAAAAAAAAAAAAAAACCCAGTCCAATTTAAATGTAGTATACAGAGTCCTTATTCCTTGACACATTATTCAGACTCTGTAGAGGGGAGTCAAAAGATGGGTTGAGATTTCCTGGTTTTCCCTGAGCTCTGAGACCCTTCTTTAATGGCAGTACAAGGACCTGCAGTGCCTCCAGCACCTTCCTGAAGCTCCTGTGCCTTTTCCAGTCACTTGGTTTTCCCATTTCTGGGTTAAATTCTAAATCTCCTTGGAGATCCTTGGGGTTTAACAGATTCCTCTGACACTTCTCTCCCTCCCCACAGGGTTTGGCAGGAGGTATTTGAGAAGGTGAATCATGGTAGCAGAAATAACCTTGTGAGTTGGCAGCATTTCTGTTCATCCCAGTGAAGAGTTGGACAATTCCTTGATTTTTATGACCTGTTGTCCAGCATCCCAAAGTTTGGGCTATCCTTTGAAATCCTTCAGGATACACCCAAGCACACTCCTTGTTTTTAAGACACTCAGGCTTGCAAGGGGATGCTTTCCAAGAGATTTGACACTGCAGAGCAATTTGAAGTGAGATACTTTCTCACTTCACTGGGAATCCTTAATTGCCTTGTGTGCTTTGATTGTGCAATCAGAGGGTGTTTTCTTCTCTGCAGAACACCTGCATCTTTTAAATATCCTGCTTAGAGCTTGGTGAGGGAGAGGTTTTCTGGGATAGTTGTTGACTCTGTGAGCTTTGCTGAGTGTGTGCTGTCAGTGTCCTGTCCTGGAGGTGTGGGACAGTCTCCAGGTGGTCCTCAACAGAATGTTCAGCTGCTCTGTAAAAAATTAGCAAATATTCACAAAGTTTCTATAGCCCAGAGCTGATCTCTGTAGCAGAGGTGTGGGTTTCAGGTTAAAAGTGCAGGAAGCACCCACTGCTCTTGTCTGCCAGACTTTCAGGAATATGAAAGTAAATCCTCAGAGTACTGCAGTGGGAACAGGAGAAGATGCTGTGAGACAAGGGGCAGTGGTTTTACTGACAGAAACCAGGTTTAGATTGGGTATTGGGGAGAAATTCTTCCCTGTGAGGGTGGGGAGGCCATGGAACAGGGTGCCCAGAGAAGCTGTGGCTGCCCCTGGATCCCTGAAGAGCCCAAGGCCAGGCTGGATGGGGCTTGAAGCCAGCTGTGATAGTGGGAGGTGTCCCTGCCATGGCAGGGAATAGAATGAGACGATCTTAAAGGTCCCTTCCAACCCAACAAATTCTGTGATTTTATGTGTGATTAGTGAACCAGTTGAATGCTCTTTTTACTTGTGAAGGGATGAATTTATAGGAATGATGGTGATAAAGTCATACCAAGACTCCTTTGCCAGCTCATGTTGGCTCCAGCTGCACCTGGGAGTGTTCAGGGTACCCACTGGTCGGACCAAAGCTGTTTGCAGACACAGGAGGGCAGGCACAAACTTTATCCTTAAACCTTAGAGCCCATATTTAAAAACCTGTCACCAGTGCAACTCATGGCCACAGGCTCATCTTTGTTCGTCCCTGCCTGTTTTTGAGGAGGTGATGGTTCACTGACACCTCCTCCTCCCACTCAAAATTTTGGTTGAGCAGTTCAGTAGGAAGTGAAAGCTGATATTTTCTCTGTGCTGTTTAAATGTGTCCTGTTAGTGCCTTCTCCTGCTGGCACCAACTCTGGGCTTCCTGAGTGCCAGGGGACAGTGGCACCCCTTCCCAGATGTTTTCCCAGCCCGTTCATAGCCTTGATTCTGTGCAAGGTACATATGCAGGAAAGGAGGGGAGGGGAACCAAAGCCCTGAGCGTTCACGCGGTCCCGGTGACACTTTGTTTTCACTGCCTGGCCAGGCCACCGAGGCTGTGTTTGTTTGATCTTGACATCTGCACTGAGCAGGAAATGGTGGTGAGCAGGCAGAGGAAAACAAAGCCAGCTCATGTTGTTGGAGGCTGGAGAAGGGCTTGGCTTCAGCCAGGGCACCCCTCCTCTGCTGCTCTCTCTGGGTGATGGCAGCGAGGTTCACTGAGCTCTGGTGTGAAAACCAACCAGCAATGTTCAGGAATCAAATCCTTCCCAGCAAGGTGGTATGGGATGAAGGCCTCCACTCTCTGTCTTGGTGTGTTGTTGCTTGAATTAAAATACAAGAGTAAAGCAAGGTTTTTTCCTCTATCCAGGAGGGACTGGATTGGTGCATATGAATAGAATTGCAGCCTCAAAGATGGAGTGTGGAGTGATGTAGTCAAGCTGAGCAACCAAAGATCAGCCCCAAATACATTATTGCAATATATCCCAGCCCTAAATATATTATTGCAATATGGGCATCTGTGGGAGCTTGAGAAAATCCACAAGACCCAAAACAAAGTCACTTGTTTGTTACTCATTCCAGTCCAAATCTTAATCCAGAAGAATGCAAATACATTCTCTGTAGTTCCTGGGTTGTTTGTGCTGCTGGTTTCTCTGATGCTCAGATGTGTCTCTAGGACTCAGTAGCACTTAGGGTGAGCAGGCTTTTCTCCTGGCCAGCTGTGAATCCCCAGGAAATGCTGCCAAAATCATTTTTGTCAGGACAAAAGCATCCTTTGGCGTTGAGGGCCGGAAAGTGCAAATCTTCTAACGACCCATTCTGAGCCAAGATGTGGGTCATGGCAGTGCCCTGGGCTCCAGGGTTTTATTTCACCTGTTTTCAGAGCAGGTGTGTGTGTGTTCTGCCAGGCTGAGGCAGCTGGAGCACGGAGGGAGGAAAATAAAGGAGAGCAGAGTCTCTTCCATAGCACGCGATGGGGAACCTTTCTGGACTGGGGTCAGGATGGGATTGCTCCTCACCGGGGGAACCTTTCTGAAGCTTTAGGGTGATCTCCTCACTCCTGGCTGCTCTTGGTGCAGTTTGAGAGGTTACATTTTGAACTGTAAACCTTCTGTGATGTTTAAATTTATGTACAGATGTATTGAATGGGAGGCAGTCTTGTTTCTTGTGTCCTACATGCCATGCTGACCTCATCCACTTGTGGAATGCCCACACTCCTTTTAAAGCACCTTTAAATCCTTTCAGGAATGGTGCAGGAAAGCCCATTTAGTGCATTTCAAATGGCTTCTTGGTTGAACTCGAGGCATTTTGCGCTGTGGTGAACTCCAAACCAGCAGTAACACAACCTGGGCTTCAGCCGGACTCAAGGTGGTTGCAAATGTCAGTTTCAAAGTTTCTTCTCAAATATTCAGAATTAGTTTGTCTTCCCTGCTTTCCCTGTGGCTACTGTAGATGGAAAAGCTGAAGTGTTTGGGGCTTTCAGAACCTGGATTGTTATTTGAGGATGAGGGAAATGTTAGGAGGTGCATTTTAGCCTAAGCTTCAGATGGTTGTGGTTTTGCCTAGAGAGGATGGTCTTGCCCTGAAGTTCTCTGTGCAAAGTTTGAAGGGGTATTTTGACCAAAATGAAGGAAGATGGTAGGACTGCAAAGCCCTGGCATGGTGGTTTCCATGGTCCTGCATTTCCCGTGGGTACAGGGAAGTGTGAATGCTGCATGTTGCCATTTGAGCAGATACTGTGGGAACACTGAGGCTGCAAAGCCCAATTCCCATCTTCTGGTTTTACTTGCTCCTTCAGGTTATTCTTCCCCAAAGAGATTAAATGATCCCAAAACCATATTTGTACACTTGGAGGCAGCCAGTGACACAGAAATGGAACACAGTGAATGCTCAAGAGTAAGAGGATCTTTACAGCTGTCCATTCCTTAAATAAATGCCTTTGAGCTGATTTAAAACATTTATGGATAGTTCCAGAGGCTTTACTGGGTGTTTTGCTTGTGCAGCTTTACTTCAGGCCTGTAACTCTAATTTGCATTGTAAATTTAAATGTTCTGCCAGGTTTTGCATATCAACACTTACCTCTAAAATCTGGACTAGCCTTGGAAGAAAAGTAATTAGTGTACACTGTGTAATCCACTTAAGGATCTGTGCAGCCTGGCTGCTCTTAGTGTTTCCAGAGAATCCTGATGGAATTTGTTTGCCAGGCTGCTGAAAGCAGGTGTCTACATAGAAATATTTATATGTGTATCTAACAGCAGTGCTTCCAGTGTTGGGAACAAAACCACATAATTAGCACTGGAAGTCCTTACAGTGTTGCTTTATAGATTAATTTAACTCTTACCTGTTAAAATAAGTGAAAAAATCCATTTGTGAAGTGCTGGCTTCCTAAGAGCGACAGCTCTGATTTCTTTCTGCAGGCTTGAGAGGCAGAGCTGGTGAAGCATAACATTAATACTTCGTGATCAAGCAAGAAACCCACTTTATTTTACTTGCTTTGATTGTCACACTCATCTCCTAACGCTTGCCTGTTGGTTGTTTGTGCAGTTTTTAAGAAATATTACCACCACGGGCACACAGGAGATGGAAAATCACGAGCTGATGCTATCCCAGGCCTCGGCATCAACACCACCTTCCTGATGAACTCCTCAGTGAGCGAGAACCAGACTTGCACTCACGATGGGCACTCCGGGCGTGAGACCGCCGTCCTCAGCCTCATGTTGATGTTGGGAACCCTCTGGCTCGGCCACACCCTCTATCAGTTCAAGAAAAGGTGAGTTGTTTAGAGCTCAGACTGCTGATTATTTCATGTTTTCTCTGAGGGAGTCATTAACAGATCAGATCTTAATTCATGGAATGACCAGGTTGGAAGAGACCTTCAAGATCATCCAGTCCAACCCATGCCCCAACACCTCAACTAAACCATGGCACTGAGTGCCAAATTCAGTCTTTTTTTAAACACATCCAGAACATAATAAATCAGCCTTCTGAAATGGAGTCAAGCCTCGTGGCCCCGCCACATGTGGAGAGACATCAACACAGGGGTGGTGACTCCATCACCTCTCCAGGCAGAAAATTCCAGAACTTTATCACTCTTTCTGTGAAGAACTTTTTCCTGATATCCAACCTGTATTTCCCTTGGTGCAGCTTGAGACTGTGTCCTCTGGTTCTGTCAGTGCTGCCTGGAGAAAGAGACCAACCCCACGTGACTACCACCACCTTTCAGGAGATGTGGAGAATGATAAGGTCATCTCTGAGTCTCCTTTTCCCCAGGCTAAACACCCCCAGCTCCCTCAGTCGTTCCTCACAGGGCTTCTATTCCAAGCCCCTCTCCAGCCCTGTTGCCTCCTCTGGACATGCTCAAGTATCTCAACATCCTTCCTAAACTGAGGGGCCCAGAACTGGACACAGCACTCAAGGTGCAGCCTCACCAAATCTGCAATCCAGGAAAATCAGGTGGAAGCCAAAGGCAGGGATGAACTTGCCAGGGCCACCTGGAAAATATTCCCAGCAGAACAAAATGTTCGCTCAGTAGACGATGCCTTCCGTCTTCGGTGTGGCCTCACAAGTGACTTTCTAAAAAAGCTTTGGGCTCCCAGTTCACCTTGGGATCCCTGTATCTCCCTCCAAACAGGCATTGAACCATTTTGCTGGGCAAAAATTCCTGATGGTGCAGGAAGGTCTATGCGAATGTACCTTCAGTGTGCTCCTGGGAGTCAAACATCAGCTCTTATTTGGGGTTTGCTCCTATTGCACTTAAAACTCTTCATTTGAGATGCAGGAAGCAATTAAAGTAAAGTGGAAATGAGACACAAATTGGTGCTTGAAGGCCTTTTTTTTTCCTAGCTTGCATCTTATTTTCTTGTTTCTTTGTGTTTTGCTTCTGCGCTCATCAACCTTCAGAAGCTGTAGGTTCCAGAAGATTTAGGGCTGAGTGAAAGACTAATTCATCACTCTAAGTATCTCTTCAGCATTGCAAGATGAGACTGAATTTTCACTTCTAAAGCATTAAATGTTGTCTGGATTGAGTGATTGTCCTGACGGTGGGGTGCTGATGGGAATTTTTTGTCTCTTTTGCAGCCCATATTTGCACGCGAGGGTACGTGAAATTCTGTCCGACTGTGCCTTACCCATTTCAGTCCTGACCTTCTCTGTTGTGGGTTCCTATATCTTCAAGGAAATTGAAAGTAAGTTCTGATTTTGTTCTCTAGAATACTGGGGTTTATGAAAGAGAGAAGTGAAATCCTAGAAGGTTTTGCTAATAAACAAAGTTCTTCCATATAGTTTCATAAATACTGCGTGTACCTCCCACCAAGAGCTCAGATTTCCTCACCATTAGATTTATGTCATTCAAAACCCTGATTAAATGAGGCTGGGGCAAGAAAAATTATCCAGATGTGTCTTTTCAGTGAGTCTGAGGTGTGTGTCACAATAAGGGAGATGAAAAATTTCTGGCACAGAACAAAGGGCAGAGTAATCAGCAGGCAGGAAGGGTTGTTGCCAGTCATATCAACATGGAGTTGGTCATACCAGTTTGTCCTCTTTGTCTCCAGTTTATTTTCCTAATTTAGGTGAAATGGTGCAGAGCATCTGGGCAGCTCTAAGTTACACAAGGATATCTAAAAATGAGACACCATTCATTGGCCAGATAGATCAACTTTTCCATATCAGGAAGCGATAATGGGGACAGGAATTGCATTGTCCTGCAGTGACGTGAGCGGGTGATGTGAGGAAATGTATGGAAACAAATAAGAAATGGCTTTTTTTTTTATTGTGATGGCCATTCCATCCAGTTGGATTGCAAAGTGATGTGTGGCTATGTGTGATTTATCCCTAGCCATGGATTGTTTCCAATAGCAGCAGTTTTGATTTAGATTTTATACTAAAATGCCTTGCACAGCTTGTTAGAGATGAGGAAGTTCTCAAATGCCTCTGTGGGTTGATGAGCTGAGCATTATGGTGCTGGTTAGAAATAAGGCTTCCTCATCTAAAAACATGTTGCATCTGTGGAAAACAAGTTTCCCTCTTTTGTTTTGCTCCAATATCTGTAATGCCTCACTTGGACTAGCAGTGGTCTGTCCTATCAGGATGGCAGCCAAGTCGTAAGTGGAGGAAAAAAAATAAACCAAACCAGCCAGATGGACCCATCTTCCATGGCCTCCAGGCTCCCACATGCCAGAGCATCAAGTCTGCTTTCCTGCTTGCTTCCAGTACTTCGTGGTGTGGGTAAAACGTTGATGGTTTCACAAGAAGGTGCCTCCTAACATCCTTCCCCTCCTATTTGCAGTGTCCAAATTTAACTACAACGCCTCTGACAGCTTGTTTGTGCTGGCCCCTGTGCAGTCCCTGTCCATTGGGTCGGTGATGAGCGCCATGGGGCTGGGATTTCTCCTCTCCATGCTCTTCTTCATTGAGCAGAACATCGTTGCATCCCTCGCCAATGCCCCGGAAAACAGGTAACGCCTCTGGTGCTGCTTTTCCCTCTGTGGGGGAATATTGTAAAAGCAGGACCCCCAACATGTGGGAGAAATGATGAGGAGGACTCCACTGATATCAGAAGGCTAATTAATTACTTTATATACTCTTATTACACTACATCTAAACTGAATCTGCACAAGCACTCAACTCTACTGAGCAGAATCTTGTGACTGTCTGCTGACCAACAGTCTGCACACGCACTTGGCCCTCATAGGCCAAGGAAACAAAACCCCAGCACTTTGGGCAAACAGTCTCCATATTGCATTCTGTTTTTGCACAAACACAGGTGCAGCAAATGAGATAAGAATTGGTTTTTCTTTCTCTGAGGTGTCTCACTGCGATTCCGAGAAAATATCCTTGGGAAGTTGTGCCTTGCTTTTCTCTGTGAAGAGAAATGCGGCCACAGAGGGATGTCCCTGGGTCTGTCACCACCACTGCTAGCCCAAAGCTTGTCTAAACATCAGAAATATATTCAGGGTGTGTTTTTAAGAATTCCTGTTGTCACAGGTGGAGGTAACTCTGCTGCTTAATTCCTCCAAAGCCTGGTGTTGTGGCAGTGAGCCAAAACCACAAATCCTCCACCAGCTCATCACCTCAACCTGTTTCTTCTTTACTCTCTGCCCAACATCATTGTTTGTCACCTAAAACTCTCAAGGTATTTTTCAGGAAGAGTTTTGGGATCCAAGAGGTGGTGTAGTGAATGTAAAGTGGATATTTTGTACAGTTTGAGGTCTTTGGATGCACCTCAAAGGTATTTGGGGAGTGCCTGACACATGTGGACACTTGCACTGCTCTTGCAGTACAGAGAATTTGTTGAAAATGAGAAGTCAATGACCTACATAAATGCTGTAGTACAAAATGCTGCAGCTGAGCATCAGGAGTGTTTGGTGTTGGTAAATTCCAACTGAAGAAAAGGTGGAAGTGCAATAAAACAATATGTCCAATGTCTGATAAGTCTCACTTATGTGCAAACTTGAGATGCTGCACTATTAAAATATTCCCTCTGATGTTTTTGTGCCAACTGCAATCAGATGTGATGTCAAGTATGAACGTGGATGACTTTTTTCCAGGGAAACTACCACATCTCTGAGGATTTTTTGCTAATGTGGTGCGTGGGAGGGTTCTCTCCTTGCATAATATCCATTAGCATTCTTCATGTTGTAGCTGGAGTGACACAGTATTAGGAGAGAGGAGACAAGCTCAAATTCAGCTACACTAATTTAGTTTCCTTTGACCACCTCTTATCTCTATTATATCCCTTTAAGTGTTGCATAAATCTATATGTAAGTGGGTCATCTCTTGGCTAAGATGAATTTCTTCTGAACTTTTGGTATTTTCCACTAGAATGTCTTTAAGGAATGTAAGATACTCTTTGGAGTTTTTTAGAGTGTTTTTTGGAGCATCTGGGTACAGAGCTGAGCTGATAAGGTGTTGGGGCAGGGATTTTTAGAGATGTAAAAACTAGGACTTGACACCATCTGTTTGTGGTGCCATCACAGACACCTTGCACTATCCCAGGTTACTCCGTTCCCCATCCAGTGTGGCCTTGGGCACTGCCAGGGATCCAGGGGCAGCCACAGCTTCTCTGGGCACCCTGTGCCAGGGCCTGCCCACCCTCACAGGGAAGGATTATTTTCTGATATCTCATCGAAACCTACTCTTTGTGTGTTTGAGTCCATCCCCCTTTGTCCTGTCACTCCAGGCCCTTGTAAAGTCTCTCCCCATCATTCTTGTAGCTCCTTTCAGGTCCTGGAAGGCTGCAAGTAGGTCACCCTGAATCCTTTTCTTCTCCAGCTTGAACAATCCCAATTCTCTCAGCCTTTCCTTACAGCAGAGGTCCTCCAGCCCTCTGATAATCTTAGTGGCCTCCTCTGGATTCATTCCAACAGGTTAATGTCCTTAAAACCTCCTGAAAAGAATGGGGAGGACAACAAACAATGACCCTGAGGGTGCTGAAGGTGCCTTTGCTCAGAGAAAGCAGCACGTGAGCAGGGGCTGTGTTTCCAAAGCGTGAGCCAGCACAGGAAATGCGTTTGCAATCCCACCCTTCCTGCCAGCACCTTCCAGAGGCATTGCAGGGTAGACACCTACCTGACCCACTCACCCCACAGCCTCCTCAGTCAATGGAGGGAGACACTCCCAGTGGGACCAGGCTTTTGTCCCAAAACAAGCCCCACCCAAGATTTCTGCTGCCCAAACAATGGCTTTGATCTTCAGGTGCTGGCTCAACTCTACCAGCTCCATGTGCCTGGTGTCCAGGAGTATTGTGGATGGCTCCAAGTCTGTGCTGAGGTATTGAGTGGAGCTTGTTTGGGTGGCATTGACACATCTAAATGATGTTCCCTTTCCAGCTGGTGGTGCCGAGAGAGAATTGAGCTGATCCCTCGCGTTGTGTGAGGATGTCAAGTGCTCCAGTGGTAGAGACACAGCCTTAGACCTTTCAGTGGGTTCAAAGTCTGAGACCTGAATCCTTCCCCAGCTTTTTTTCTAAACTTTACTCATAATATCTTAGTAGTTGGTACAAGATGGGAGTATTCAGGAAAGGGGCAGACCTTGGAAAAAATGGTTAAAGTAGGTGTGAGTTCTTGGTGCTGCTTTCTGCACAATCCTGGCAAAGTGGGTGTGCTCAGATTCTTCAGTGAAGGCTGATTCCCTATCTCCTAAAAAATGAAACAGGGAGGCTCTGCAGCATTTGATGAAGTTAGGAGCAAATCTCCTTGGTTGGCTACCAGCCTTTTGGAATGTGTTGCCCAGAGAAGCTGTGGCTGTCCCATCACTGGAAGTGTCAAAGGAGAGGTAGGATGGGGTTTGGAGTAACCTTGGGTAGTGGAAGGTGTCCCTTCCCATGGCAGGGCGTTGGAACTGGGTGATCTTTAAGGTTCCTTCCAACCCAAACCATCCTATGATCCATTCCACAATTCTGTGACTACCAAGGAGGAGCTGAAGTTTAATGAATTCCTGTCCCATTTTCTTATCATGCAGTAGCAATTACATAATTAGGGGATTACTGCAGCATACCAAGCACGTGTTCTGCTCATGGGGAAGAAGAGAGATCAGGGTTACAGACAAGAAACTTCAGTGTCAGTACTGTGACAACAAATGCTCAGGATTTTATCCTCTCCCCATGTGGACTCTGCGAGCAAGCACACACATGGATTTTGTGTAGATTCTGCAATAAATGTAGGAGAAAAACACTGATGAAATTTTCATGGGCTGTTACTTCAGTGTGCTGCCTTTCTGCTCAGCATTGTTCTGTCCAGATGACAACAGCTTTGAGAGCAAACCATCACATTTCACTCCTTTAGTGTTCGCACCGCGCACACGGTAAATCCAGAGGTGTGAAATCTCTGTGTGTGTGTGTGTAGAGCACTTGGGTGTTCAACTAAGGCAGCCAGTAGGGTTTGCACCAGATGTAACCAGGTGTAACTGCTGTCCCCAACCCCACTCCAGGTTGGTGAAGGGCACAGCCTATCACTGGGACCTGCTGCTGGTGGCACTGATCAACACGGGGCTGTCGGTCTTCGGCCTGCCCTGGATCCACGCGGCCTTCCCGCATTCCCCCATGCACGTCCGGGCCCTGGCCTACGTGGAGGAGAGGGTGGAGAGTGGACACATCTATGAGACGTAAGTAGAGCTCTTTGGAATCATTTTTGTGGCTTCCCAGTCCTTTGGGAACGGTGGATTTGCGTGGTTGGGGTGTTGGCTGTTGTATTCCAGATATGAAAGTGATGGAAAGGTGCACCCAGTGAACCTTGATTTGGCTTCATCCCCTTCACTCAAGCACTCAAGTTCATGCTCTGGCCAGTGGCAGCATCCTACAGGGATCCCACCCACTCCATTGCAAATTCTCCTCTGGAAAAGTCAGCCAAGGCCATTTTCAGTTTCAGCCTTGTGGAAAGCTGAGGAGGTGCTTTGGCCGGATCTCTCCGGATGCTTTCCCCAGAAAGAATCCAAAGCTGATTCACTGCCTGAAACCTGTCTGGTGGTTATTACGAAGGGGAGGAAAAATGCACCATTATTTCAGAGCTCCCATAACATCTCCCACCACATTTTGGGAAGGAGATGCTTAAATTCTCTGGGTTTTAAACAAAAACAAGTGTGAAGCCATGGCTGGGTCACGGGTTTCTATTTAAGACCAACTCTTCTGCTGCTCTGAGTTGAGCAACACATTCTTATCACAGACCTATTAAAAATAAATTAAAAACCTTTTTCTCATGAAACAATCTCTGCTTTGGAGCAGATCTGGCCTGTTTGATTTATTCTGTTGCAGTTGAGTGCTTTTACCACAGGAGTGGTAATTTCCACTCACATACCATTAGTTTTAATTATCCTGCCTTGGTTTCCATTTTCAGCCTTGCCACTTATCAAAAGTGAGGCTAAGTGATCATTGACTTTGGGGGATGGAGTGGGTCTGTCTTAATCTCAGTCTTGTCTTCATGCTTGTTTTGGTGCCAAATGGCCCAGCCCAGCCAGGCATAGCTGATTTTTGGGTCAGGGATGGACAGATTTCACCTTCCACATTGGAAATGGCTGAGGTCTCTTGCTCCCTGTAACTCTTCTACAGATCTTTTCCTGGGAGATCAGTCCCTTGGGTTTGTATTCCCATTAGGATATGTTGGTATTGGTTGTTCCCACAACTATATCTCTCTTGAATAAATACTAAACCCTATTTAAAGAAGAAAATCAACTTTGAAATTTGAGTTCTGTAGAGTTTTAATCCATGCCCTTGCTCCTCGTGTCTGTGATCTGCTCTGGGATACCTCCACCCTCTGTTTCTTTGAGAGATGCAGAACTCACACTTTGAAACCCATGTGCCAAACCTCCCTCCTGTGTCTCCTGTTGTCATTTCTCATATCCAAGTGCCTCTTTTTCCTGTTTTTCCACTGTCATGATTCTGTATTCTGGCTTTGCTTTGACAAAGTCAAGTCCCCTGCCTGAACTAAGGACTAATTCCTGCACTTCTCCTCTCCTCCTTCACCCAACTGCCACCCAAAAAAAAGCACCAGAGGGGCCTTTTTGGCCACTCTGTCCAAGATACAGCTCCAGGGATTATCCTGGAAGGGCTGAGGGCTGCCCTGATCTCCCTGAGGGTGTTCCCTCAAGGCACAGTTCTGCTCTGCTGGAGGCAAATCAGTGCTGGGAACTGGATATTGGGAGTGAAAAAGGGAATGAGGGTTTCCTAGTGCTTTGAACTCCCTTTGAGACCAAAGCTTTTTGTTCTCTGCAAAGCACTGGGGCTAGAACAGGAGGCTCCAAGCAATGTAGTCATCTCTGTTTTTTTCCTTTTTCTTTTTTTTTTTTTTTTTCCCCTCTTAGCCAGCTCTGCTGAAAAAGAAATGAAGCTCAATTAGAAAATCAACTCTGTCTCCCTTGGCAGGCTCCTTCCCTGCACTCAAATCAAAGCTCCCACAGGATGATGACATAAACAAGGATAAAGATCTGTCACACTGAAAGCAAAATTTTCTTCTCCCCTGTAGAGAAACAATTTAAGTTTCCTGTGGCAATCTGCAAACAGGCTGTTGTTGCTTACTTGGAGAAGTTCAGGAATGGCTAATCCCATGCTATCCATATTTAGAGGATTTTGGGGAAATGAGCCTGGATTACGCTCTTTAATCTCCATTAATTACTTTATTTCCATCACGGTACAGAATTTCTGGAGCTGTTTCCTCAAGGGCCAAACCAGATTCTGAACACATGGAAATCAAGGATTCCTCTGTTGACTTAATGTGACTGTGATGTTCTTATTCTGGAAATGAGGTGCTAGAATTAGCAGAAGACCAATCTAAGGCTGGGAACATCCGTTTTAAAAATATAATGTTTGGGCAATTATGAGCAATTTTAGCTATGTTCTGATAAAATATTCCAAACTAATAAGTGGCATTAACAGGAGCTGGCAGCAATTGCAGTACATTTTGCCGGTGATCAAACACAGTGTTGTGATTGCTGCATCCCTAAGAGATGGCTGCAAAAAATTCCATGAACTTCAGAAATCTCTTACCTAAGGGCTGCCACTCTGAGCTTGTTCTTGCAGCCATGCATCTGATTGAAATGTGTTTTTGTAGCTCATTTTGTCCCTGAACTCTTCCACTTGCATGACTTCCCTTGCAGACCTGTGTGTGCTTGCAGGGCAGGAGCCTCCCCAGCAGGAGGAGAGATCTCTGTGTGAAATAGCAGAAATTCTTCCTCTGTGGCTGACCTGGTGCTGGAGGAACTCTTGCTGTACCTGGATGAGGTTAAATCAGTACTTCCTAAACTCCTGCTTCTCTGAGCCACCACAGAGGCTCATGGTGGTTCTGGCAGCTCTGGAGTGGCCAGACTGGAATTATCTGGCACAGCACTTCAGTTGCACTTTAAGCTGCTTGGTTCTGTTCATCTCCAGCACTTCTGTGGTGATCCAGACCTGGAGGCAGTAGGAAAGGTGCCAAACTCTGTCCATTTAGGTGATGTCCCAGTTCCACCAGAGCTGGCAAGAGTGAAGCACTCTGCTCTCCCTCAGCTTCTCTAGGCACTGGCAGGGACCCCTTGGATGTAGGAGACTTGCAAAAAGGTCCAACAAAATCTGTTTGGAAGGAGAAAAGCTGTGGTTTAAACCTGTTGGAAGGTTACTTAAAGGTTAACACCTCTGTGCATCCTGTCCTGGCAATCCTGGATTGTTTGTAGGACCTGCCCCACTACTCACAGAAGAATTCCAGTGTTGTCCTCAGGATTTTGTGTGCTGTTTGTGGTACCTGTTGTTCCTTAGGTCTCATGACTGCTGGTGTTAATTTGTTGTCCAAATCCTCAGAGCAAGCTTTGGCTGTCACCCTTTCCCTCCCTCTCCAAATACAGGTGTGGAAGGCTCCTTCATCCCCTTTTGCTCCTTGAAGGTATAAACAGATTTGAAGTTCAACCTGACCTTACTTCTAAGCAAAACTCTCCAACTTAATATTGCAATAATTCAATCTTCTTCAGGACAGAAGGGATTAAGAAATCCCAGCAGTGCATGTGCAAAGGAGGGAAGTGTGTTTTGATAGATTTTTGGTGTTAATCCTCAGAGAAATCTGTCTGTAGGGTTAATTCAGAATTTGAGGGGTCTCATCCAGGGGCTGAGGTCACTAAATGACACCAAAACAGCCTATGGACAAAAATTTTTCCTCATAATAAGGGGATTTATTCACTGGCTGATCCACTGAATTGTTGGATTTAGCTTCTAAAAAAAAATAGGAATCCTCTTTTTCTCTCCTCGTGAGTAGTCTTGACAGATGTGGGTTTCCTTTCCTCCTATTGTTTCTGATCATTTTTTTCAGACTGGGAGGAGATGTTCACAGGTTTAGCTGAAGTGCACAGAAAACACAGCAGCCTCCCCTCAAGCAGGTTGCTAAAGCTGCTGCCTGCTTTCCTGTCAGTCTTCCCCTCAAAAAAGCTCAATTTGTGGCCTGTCAGCTCTGAAAAATTTGCATTAATTAATGACATGTTTAGCATGGTAATAGGCAGTTGCCCACAGCAGGATAGAATCCCTGTGTGGTGCTCTCAGCATTCCCTTCCATGTAAACAGGGAGATCCTCATATCCATCAAAAATGCTGACTCGCTGTCAGGAGACTGCTGAGACTGCTGACTTTCTGTTTGTTTTTTTGTTGTTGTTTTTTTTTTTTTCCTTCCAAGACGTTCCTTATTTCCTGGAGAAGCCAATGAGTTTTCTTTGGGAGAGAAGCCAGTTGCATGTGCCCAGGGTAAAGCAAGGGAAGGATTACTGACCAGAAAGAGGATTCTTGGCTGGTTTGTTTTTTTATTCTTTTCTGCATTGTGCTAAACAGAATCAGTTTCGAGGGCAATTTAGTTCAGGATAGGATCTGTAGAGCTTTACAGAAGGGGAATTTGGCACTTTTCCAGCTGCTGTGGATTAAGTGCCTGGCCTGGCTCCAGCCAGGCTCTGCCTCCTCAGTGTCAGCACGGGGCCAGAAGTGCTGATTTCAGTGGTGGGGATGAATTTCCCTTTCCCTGGTGGCATGTGTGCTCCATGGAGCGACACTGAGATAAACACTCCCGGATCTTGGCATGTTATCCCATCTCCTAACCCCTTTTTTCCTGCTGCCAGGATCGTGAGTGTGAAGGAGACCCGGCTGACGAGTCTGGTGGCAAATTTCCTGGTGGGGCTGTCGCTGCTGCTGCTCCCGTTCCCCCTGCAGTGGATCCCAAAGCCGGTCCTCTTCGGCCTCTTCCTCTACATCGCCCTGACCTCCATCGATGGCAACCAGCTCTTTGAAAGGGTGGCTCTGCTCCTCAAGGAACAGGTACCTGGAGCTGTGTTTGCAACCCAGCTGTTCAAACTCTCAGTGTGGGATTTTTTTGGGAGGTGGTTTTGTTTTTTATTTTTTTCTTTTAATGTGAGTTTTTTGGGGAGTTTTAAACTGTCGTGTCTTGTATTTGGGTTTTCCCCAGACAAAGGAAAGAACGATGAATTTCACTCCATGTTCTCAGAAGGCTGATTTATTATTTTATTATACTATATTGTATTAAAGAATACTATACTAAACTATACTGAAGAATACAGAAAGGATATTTACAAAAGGCTAAAAAGATAATAATGAAAACTCGTGACTCTCTTTCTAGAGTCCTGACCCAGCTTGGCACTAATTGGCCAATGAGTAAAAACAATTCAGAGCAGAAACCAATGAAACAATCACCTCTTGGTAAAAAATCTCCAAACGCATTCCAAAAGAAAAAAACACAGGAGAAGCAAAACAGATGATTATTGTTTTTCTTTTTCTCTGAGGCTTCTCAGCTTCCCAGGAGAAAAATCCTGAGCAAAGGGATTTTTCCAGAAAATGTGAATGCCACATTTGTGTCATCTGCAGAGTATATGCATTTAAAAAAATAATAATATAATAAGCACTACACCAGGAAATTAGGATCTTTGATTTCCCCAGCAAAGCTTCAGGCAGGTATTTTTTTGGTGCTGTTTTACACTTTCATTTTGTGTGAAATACAGCAAGATGGGATTTTAAACTCAAAATGAAATTACTTGTGTTATTGAAACCTCTGTGATGTGGGCTGAAAACAAACCTGGAAGATGTTTTTTTTTTAAATCTGTCTCTGTTACAGGTGCTAAAAATGTGTTGTTTGGGAGTGTAGGTGGTACCTGGAGCAAACTCCAGCTCACCTTCTCTTATATAACAAGGGTCAAGGGCTTAATAAGCCCAACATTTGGCTCTGCATCTCTGCTAATCTGTCTTGATCTCCAATATTACATCCCAGAGGTCAAAACTGTGAAATTCGGGTAAAGATTACATTTGTCATGTCATGTCAATTTTTGAACAGCTACTGATGTATGTGACTTATTGCTTCTGATTTCAGTAGGAATTATGCATGGAATTTTCCAGGTTTTGGCGTGCAAAATTAAAAAGTATTCTCAAAAATGGAAAACTCCCTTTTGTGGAAACCTTTTAATGAGTCATGGCACAATCTGAAAGCCACTGAGGCTGTGCTGGTGCCAGCAGACAGTCGCTCATCCTCTTCATTGATGTATAGACAATGAGTCAAAGCCTGTGCTCAGACATGAGCAAGGAACTGTCAAAAGAAACCACCATATTTAGCCTATTAATGTCATTTTTTTCCCCCCTTATTTCTCAAAAATGGGTGGCTTATAGGAGCTGAGAAAATCCCTGCAGTGTGAGCACTGCCTCTTCCCACATTTCCCTCATCTCCTGAATCCCTGGAAGGGTTCAGCCAAGAGATGGGAGCAGCAAGGGCAAGCCTGGAGCCTTGGAAGGCTATAAAATAATGAGGAGCTGGGTGTCAGGTGGAGCAGCCATGGACAGGAACAACACCTGGATGCATCTGCTCTCCTTCCCACCTCTGGCTGGGGAGCCCTGACAGTCCCAGTCCTCTCAGGGAATCTCATTACTGCACTTCCCAAGGTATTATATTGCACTCCAGATGTTCCCAGAGGCCATCCTGGCCCTGAGGGGTGTCCTGTCTTCTCTCCAAGCTCCCAGTGCCCACTCATCCTCTGGCTCTTGCTGCCCATCTGTGGTTTCAGGCACTGGAATTAACCCTACAAATCCCGTGTTCAGCTGCTGAACCTCTTAAGGGCCCTGATGGTGATGCATGCATTGCTTGTACAAATTGATGGCTTCCCTCAAGTCCTGGTGTCCCAAAGGCCCATTCTGCTGTCACAAGTCCAGGTCCCTGCATGTCTAACGTGTGGTTCTCTCTTCCCAGACCGCTTATCCTCCGACCCATTACATCCGCAGAGTTCCCCAGAGGAAGATCCACTATTTCACAGGCCTGCAGGTCCTGCAGCTCGTCATCCTCTGTGGCTTTGGAATGTCACCCCTGCCTTACATGAAGATGATCTTCCCCCTCATCATGATTGGGATGATCCCCATCAGGTAGGAAGCTTGGCTTTCTTTTTTTCCCTGTCTCCCGTGTCTTGTGTCTCTCTTCATGCTTGGATTGCTGGAAGTCTGAGGAGAGGAGAAACTGGGAGCTGGGCTTCTTTAGTCTGGAGAGGAAAAGAGTGAGAGGGAATCTCACCAATCTGTATAAATGTCTCCAGGATGGTGCCAGACTCTTTCCAGTGGTGCCCAGTGACAGGACAAGGACTAATGGCCACAAACTAAAACACAAGCAGCTTCACTTCAACACGAGGAAGAAGTTCTTTATGTTGAGGGTGGCAGAGCACTGGAACAGCTGCCCAGGGTGGCCCTGGAGTCTCCCTCTCTGGAGACATTCCAAACCCCCCTGGACACATTTCTGTGTCACCTGCTCCAGGGGGATTGGGCTGGGTGATCTCCAGAGGTCCCTTCCAGTCCCAACTATTGCATGAAGTGGTTCAGGAGGGTTTTCTGCATTTTCCAGGCTCTAAGCAGCTCCTGGAAGTGAGGAGGGTTTTTGTACCAGTTGCTCAGGCCTGAGGAGAAATCAGGATTTCACTGCTGCTGGGAGTTGTGCAAAGGGTTCTGGGCTGGCAAGTGCTCTTCTTCCAGCCTCCTAGGAGGCAAAAACTCTCCTTTTTAGTGCCTGTGCAATGCCTTATCTTCCTGAGAAGCCATAGTCCAAACCTCTAGGTGGTTTTTGATAATGTTCCTTTTCACTTTGCAATTTGATTTTCCAGCAGAGGGAGAAACTTTTCCTAAGAGGAATCCTTATCTCTTACCCAGTGTTCTGGTGACCTCCCAGACCTCCTGCACTGCTGGATGCCCCTGTCAATGATCAGTTGGGTGAAACTGTCCACATTTAGACTTAAAATAAATATTTAAAGGTGGGAGGACCCCACAATATCCTACACAGAGAGAGACTTGAGAGAGAATTTTTAAGAAATTTAACTAATTTTTTCCTTGGGGTTCATTAGCAGCCACTGCCCATCATTCTCCAGTTAAATAATTCATGCTCTCCGTCCTGTGGATATAATGAGAGGCCATAAAAAGATCTTGGAAGGAACAGATCAAGTTTCCAGTCCACTTGATTATTTTTAGGCCAGCATGGTACCAGTGATATCTGCTTGACTTGGAGCTTGCAGTCCCAGAGATTTTGCCTCTGATCCCAAAGTCCAGGGCTGCTAATCTGCACCACCTGCTGTGGTGTTTTCCTTGGCTGATAAAGATGGGTCCAATCCTTTCTGAAACTAAAGCAAATGTTAGAGCTACCATGGCTTTCAACAGGATCAGGTCAGAGCCATTTGGGCTGGATTTTAAAAGATAAACAGGCTTGGAAAACACAGAAATTATTGTTCCTCTGGTAGTAATGCCTCACCTGCCCTTCACACTGGTGGCACTTGGGGTGCCTGGATGAGTGACTGGTAAATATTCCATCTGTGAGCAGTGCTGGATGAGTGGCTCTTGTGGGAATTGCAGCTCAGTGCAGAACAGAAAACGTGGGGCACACTCAGCCAAATTCAGGTATTGGCCATGGTATAAAAAACTCAATTAGTGTGGAGAGAATGCAGTCCAAAAAACCTGATTTTGCACTCAGAGCTAGATACTAATATGCAAATATATCTTCTTTTCAGTAAATAAGATGCTGTCACTTTCTACCCTCTGTGTTGCTAACTCAATTCTCTTTCCAGGGCAGTTTTTTCCCAGCAGCTGGATAATCAGCCCTGCTGCCAAGGGGAAGATGCTGCTGCCTGGCATTGCATGGAAATTTGCCCTTGGCTTTGCTTCCTCTGATTTCTTTTGCCTTCATGTAGGTTCTGTGGCCTCCAGCCAAGAAGGCAGCACCATGATCCATGAGCTCTGTAGTTAATGACTTTTTCCCAAAGTTTTGGCACTCTAAATAGATGAGGCAGTTGAAGAAATTTAATATATTTTCTCCAATTTTTTTTTTTAAAAGAAGTGAAGGGAGAAAGAGGAGATGGGACAGCAGCCAGGGAGAAAATTCAAGAATCAAACACAAATGAGTGAGGCATGGCTTGGTGTCCCATCCAGAACTCAGCCACATCCCAAAGCCACATTTCCATCCATCCAACAGCGTGAGAAACATGATTTGTGTTGTCATGAGTGAGGGATCCCTGGTGTGGTCTCAGACAGATCCTGAGAAGCCACTGAAATCCATGACTGCAGTGGAAAACAGCCTGTTGGAAGAAAACTTGATCTCTTTGGGAATTCCCAGTTCCCGGCTTAGATCCAGAACTTTGGCATGATGAGTTTTTGGTTGCCCACAGAAGAATCTTCTCTCCAAGTTGTCTCTTATCTGGGCTCCCGTGGCTCTCAAACATTTTATTCTGTGATGGGTCTATTTAAGGAGATCCTGGTATTTCTCATTAATAAGTGATGTTTGGGATCTCGTGCTCAGCAGTTGAAATCTGAAACTGATTTTTTGGTGCTTTATGAGTTATTTTAACAGCTGAAGAGTCACTTCCTTGTTAAACAAGGGGAAATGCCACATAAATGTGCATTGGGGTTTTTTTTAATTGTCTTTTTTTGTTGTTGTTGTGGTTGTTGTTGAGGTATAGTTTGTATTTTATTATAGGGTATTATAGTTATAAAATACCCTATAATAAAATACAAACTATTTTATTTATAAAATATTTAATTAATTAAAAATGTTATTTAAAAATACTTTTTAAAATTAATTTAAATTTGATTTTAATGTGTGAAGGTAGTGTGAAAGTAGTGTTAGTCCTTATTTTAAAAATTATGTATATAATATTATTTATTTATATAAATATATTATTTGGGTTTTTATTTAAAATTTATCTATATAAGTTTATTAATTTGTGTGAATAGTTTTATTTATTTACGAGATTTACAAGAGCAACTTCACAGTGCCTTTCTAACCCAAATATATTAATTTGTGAGGATGTTCTTGCAAAAAATCAATTTTTTAAAAAATTTTATAGTAATTTTTTAATAAAGATTTTTTACAGTAAACTTACTTTTTAAAGTAAGTTTATAAATTTTTTTTTTTAAAGTAAATAATTTGTTTTACATGTGTTTTCCATGCATCTCCACATGGAGAAGCCAAGACAGCAGCTCAGGATGGTCTTGTTTGGAGTCATGGCTTTCACCTCTGTATTTTTGTCACCCTGAGAACTTGGTGGTGACAGAGCTCTGGGAAAGTGACTTCCTCCGGTGAGGATGAAGATGCTTTCTTTCCTTTCCAGCTTCATTCCGGAAAAAAAAAAAAAAGTTTTTTTAGGTGTTTTTAGGTTTTCCCTTTCTCCTTCCTCCAGAAGGAGGAGGCTCTTGCAGAGGGAGCCTGGCACTGCTGTTCCCATAAACGCTGTGGTTGCTTTTGTGGGGTTCTGCTGTCCCCACTTTGTGTCCCCCTCACTGGGTGAATGTCCCAGCCAATCTCACCTGGGAGCTTTGGGACAGAGAAAAAAATGCAGCACAAGCAGGGACTGAGCCCTGTCTGCTCTGCCCTAGGTACAACCTGCTCCCCAGGATCATCGAGGCCAAGTACCTGGATGCCATGGATGCCGAGTACTGAGGGTTCCTGGCCTGCAGAGCAGCAGAGACAGCCCCTCTGGGGCCAGCCGAGCCGTGGGACCATCCCTGCAGTTTCCTTTCACCACTTTCTTCGTGCTCTGAGGTTGGCAATGCACTCCTGTCACAGCTCCACGGGGCCCGTGCCAGACCGAGGGAGCCTGGGATTGAGAGGACGCTGCTCTCTGGAGCTGTGAGGCGAACAAGATTAATGGAAAATGCTTCTTTCCACATCCCCAACCACACCAACCCCGAAGATCAGCCTGGCTGCGTGGTTGGAGCATCCAGAGTTGTCCTGTGTTCCCCTTTGTTGGAGGGTGGGGGGGGATTTTTTAATGCACCACATCCTTTTCTTCCCCAGCACTAAGAACAGCAACTGACCCTTGTTGTACAGAATGACAGCCCTGGCCTGGCCTTTGAACCCAATTCCCTGTGCACCCAGTATTCCCAAATTGCTGTTCTGGGTGTGATGGCCTCGTGCTAAACCCCTGATGTCTGGAGAGTTGGTGCCTGTTTTCTCACATTAATGGGTTTGGAAACAGTTGCAATGTGTACTGCTACAACCCACAGTTTTGGATGAATTTGTAATCCCAGCAAATGAGCTGGGAACATTCAGAGGCTGGGCTGGAATGGCCCTGTGGATGAAACCCCTGCTGGGTTTGAGCTGTTTGGGCATTAGTTTGGCTCTTTCTCCCATTTCTCCTGGGTAATCAAACACAGAATTGTAGGTTTTTGCACAACTGCAGCATTTTTTGCCTGCACCCAGAGGGCAGTTGTGTCGAGGTTGCATATACATATGTACAGTAGTGCCTATGTGTACATATATACATATGGAGTTGTGTATATATTTTGCATAGATATACAAATAGGCCTGGTTCTTTCCAAATTCACAAGTGTTTTGTGCAGTCAGTGTTACCCACCATGTCCTGACCATAAACTTGTTCTCTGCTTCAGTGCTGCTTTTTCTCATTTGAGATATGGTCACTTTTATTCCTTTGGAAGCTGCTCAGTTACTGGTTTTGTTCATGTGTTGCTTTCTTCAAGGTGTTTTCTTTGCTTTCTCCTTCCTGTGGCTTGAGACCTTCATCATTCTGTCTCGAGGCTCCAACATGTGAATTTTTCATTTAATTTTGATGTACAGAATGCAATGAAAGTTTTCCTCTTTTCACCTAATCAATACTTGTTGGTCATTTCATTGTTTCTGTTGTGTAGCTGATTTCCACTTCCCCCCCCCCCCCCCCCCCCAGATGTTATATTATATTTCTGGATGAATCTTAACTTCTGCAGTCTTTTATATTTCAGTTTATTTAATTTTGCTTGTACTATGGTCAGTTTTCTTATTTGGAGTACTGTGAAACAAGCTGCCCTTTAGTTCAGTGCTTGGCACGTCACAGGTCACAGCTAAAAATGTTCAGAAAATTGTGGACCTCGGTGATGAACTTTCAAAAGAGTAGAAACGAGGGAAGAAAAGGAATGTAAAATATGAATTTATCAGCACAGAGAAATGTTTATTACAAGTTGCTTGCCCAGTAAATGGTGCAGAGTTTTTTACTCCCACCCCAGCATGGTGAGGGAGACCAACCCAGCCATGAGGGAGGAAGGCTTTGGGTGCAAAGCTCCTGTGCTGATGCTAAGCCAGGCTCAAGCCACTGCAGATTTGGTGTATTTGCACCAAAGATCAGAAGGTAATTAATCTTTGTGGAGCTGCCCACGGCTCTCAAATACGTGTGCAGAACTAATTTTTGCATTTTGTTACGAAACCCTTTGTATTGAGACTCGAGGGAGGAGAGCAATGAGAGTTCCTGTATCCATGATTTTATATCCCTGGGGGAATTGTAAGGAAAACCCCTCAGCTTAGCAAGCAAAACAATGTCACAGATAGCAAAAACACGACCTTCATGTGGCACCAAGCTGATGTGAGAAGTCTCAGGGTCAGGGTGACCACCCCAGTGCATCAAGGCAGGGAATTTGGCTTTCAGGGGCAGCTCCTGCCACATCTGACAAGAGCAGGTACAAACCCAAACGTGGTTTCTGACCATTTTCCCCAAGATTCCCTGGCTTTTGAGTCATTTCTGTGCCAGGATCACTCAGAGCTGTTAGCAAGGGCTGCGTGTAGTAACAGGGGCAGGCAGGATTTCAGAGGTGGCAGAACTGTCTGATCTTCAGTCAACAGCAAAAGGGCAGGTGACAGGCAGCAGTTCAGGACCTGCTGGAAGCCAGGGAGTGCAGAGGGCTGCTGAGGCTGAAATAACATGTTATTCCCACAGATGTCAAAAGATTTAAGCAAAGCTGCAATCAGAGGTGTCATCCTCTGGCTGAGTAAAGCTGTAACACACACGTGACCTGTGGGTGAATTCCTGGTGTCTCCCCAGGAAGGAGTCACCTTGGGGGGTGGGTTAAGTGATATTTTGGGTGTTGTGGCTAGGGGAAGGACAGGATGTGCCCAAGGGAATGTGGCTTTGGTTCTCTTTGAGGCTCTGGGTGGGATTTCCTCAGGCAGAGAGCCATAGTGAGGTGGACTGGCCTGCAGGTTTTACCAGATGAAATAGTTTTGAGATGCACCCTCCATCCCCCACTTAGAAGGGCCAAAAATGTCCCCATCTAAAGCCTTTTTGAAAAATCCATTTCAAATAGTGTCAAATGTTGCAGAGAGAATTGAAAATCCAGGCAGCAGGGAGGGTTAAATATCGACCACAACTCTTGTTTGTGTCTTTTCTTTTCCTTCACCAGTGTGACTTCAGTGTTTGTATTTTCTTTGTAGCATCAGTAGGATTCTGTTCTGTAGAGTTTCTGTTCTTACAGAAGTCAGGGGCCAAAGAATCAGCTGATGGGAAATCAGCACAGCTTGTGGGGGGGAAAAATGCTGTGCTGGCTTGGACTGATTGAACATTTGGACCTATGTCTCAATATCTGGGTGGAAGGGAGATGTGAGACTCGAGGCCTCTTGTCTCAGAAGGGGTTTTCATGATCCTGCAGAGGATTTATTTTATTTTTCCTTGCCTTTTCTCTTCTTGTTTGCTTCTGGTTTTGCTGACATAAGTGCAGGCGTTTCCAGGAAGTAGCTGACTAGGGAAGGAGGGTTTGTTCAGAGTTGATTGAGCACTTTAATACTTCTGTGAAGGTTTAAGACAATTAGAATGTAAAAGAAGTTTTATTATAAGCTCTTTATATACGCACAATGCTCTGTATAACTGTTGCCAAAGAACTGAGTCTGAAAGGTGTCAAGAGCTGTTGGGAGAGTCCGTGGGCTTCACCTGGCATTGCAAGGTAGGGAGAAGCTTCTGAAACGAGTGGATTTTGGAAGTTGCCGTTTGACAGCTGCCAAAACAATCAGAAACTGGAGATAGAATAAAATTCTACTCTCAAACTTGTAGTTTTTGATCCTTGCGTTGAATGTAGGAGCTAGAAGTGAGCTTGACAATTAAAATTGGATTTGTACCTGACTGGTTTTGTTGGTCTGAGACTTTCTTTTGTTGCTTTTGAAGACGTCCTTGACGTGCTGTGTGTGGGATTTGATGTGTTTGCCCATGTAAATGAAGGGAAGTTGGTGAAAAGGTGGAACTTGTTGGACAAGCAGTGCAGCACTTTTGGGATTGCTTAGGAAGCACAGCTGACAACTGCACTGCAACAACCCCAAACTCCCTGGCACCAACATTTGAAGTTATTTAATAAATGTCAAGCTCCACTTGGATGTGCTGCAGAAGGATGGGAATGGAGTAAAGGGATTCAGCTGGTTTGGCTCAGAGCTGCTGCTGGTGAAGAGGTCCAAGATGAGCCCCAGCCCTGTGGGACACAATACGAGCTTCCTGATGATCCAGGGAACTGGGATGCTCTGGAAAGAAACAGGGTTGATGGCCACACTTATGTACAGTTGTAGGTTCTTCCCCAACATTCTACACCCGCAGCTTCACCCAGAGACTGAGACATCACAAACTTCTGCTCGTGATATTTGGCTGCTTTAGGAGCTGCTGCTGCACGCTGCTCTGTGGACACTCCTGGGAGGAGCAGGAGGTTCCCCCAAAGCTGGATAGATTTGGAGGTGGGAGGGCAGGGATTGGTTTGGGAGGGTTTTTGTGGAGTTCTCAGCAACAAGAAAGAGACCTGACTGTCCCATCACCAAAAGCAGCTCCTGTTTTCCAGTGTGTCCCACAGGATCTGCACCATCATCGTCACGCATTCATGTTACTCCTTCCCAACCTTTTTTTATTATTTGTTGCATTCTGGATCTGCCCTTTGCAGGGTTTTTACCTGCCTAGAACGCTGATGGGCAGATCCAGGGGTGGCTCAAGCACCTCTGTTGTGTCTGTCCCCCCAAAACTCAGTGCAAGCTGTTTGCTGTCATCTCCTGACCCAGCTCTCTGCTTCCCCAGCCCGTTCTAGAAGCTGCCTCTGGAATTTCCACTGGGGAAATGCTGAGTGGGAATTTTTCCTGGAAAACCTGAACCTGTGCCTGGCAGTGGCTGCTCCTTGGGGCTCCTTTGCCTGATAAGCAGTGATGAAGGATTCATAACTGTGCAGCATTTGCACCTCCCCATCTCTTCAGAAATCTCCTTTATGGCTCCTGTTCCAGTTGGGATGTCCTCCTTTCATCTGCCAAGCTTCCAAAACAACCTAAATAGATATAATGGGGTGGGGCTGGGTTGTTTTCTGTGCTGAGGCCTGTGAATGTTAGAAGAGAATCATCTTCTCTAATTGTTTTGCTGTCTAATTAAGGCACTGAAGGACCAAACCCTGGCCATTGCACTCGTGGCTGCAGCACTGCTTGCAAAGAGCAAACCATCAACGTTGTGGGCAGAGCAGAGGGGAGGGAGTTGTTGCAGTACAAGCTTTAGAATCACAAATTAGCACTTTGCTCTTTGGCTTTTGGGTGTTTTCCTTGCACACTTCCCTGGCTGTGTCTTTCTTTGCCTTGTACAAAACGCTGCGTGAGCTGGGATGGCTCAGCTCTGCTCTGATGTCACATTAAATATTGAAGAGCCTGTCCTGGGGGAGTTGCTGCCTCCTGCTCCCCATCTGCCTCTCCTGCAAAGAGCTGCTCACTTGGAGACTCTGCTCTTCATCCAGGAGACAAATTCCTGTTGCTGCAGGAGCAGTGCCCCAGAAAGGGCACACAGAAGGGGAGCAAAACGCAAAGAATTGGGGAAAACAGCTTGAGAATAAAGTCTCTCCCTCCTGATCTGAGTGATGCTGGCACTTATGAGCACGTGGGGAGAAGCAGGAGCTCTGCAGCAGTGAGGTGTTCGTGATGTGATCAGGGGCCTGCAGGAACTCCTCCTTAGCGAATTCAACACATGGGGGACTGATTCCAGTGCTGATTTTGGGAGGGCTGGGAGCAGTTCTCATCTGCACAGCAGCAGCTGGTGTCCTGGAATGCTGGTTTGAGGTAAGTTTTCCATGACTGGAGGACCTGGGTGGTTCTGCAGAGGTGGCTGGAGCAGAAGGTGCAGCCCTGGGTGTCCTGAGCACCCCCAGTGCTGGGGGGGAGCTCTTTGGTGGGGGTGACAGAGCTCCGGCCGTGTCCCCTCCTGTCGGGAGCTGCTTCCCCTGGGAGCTCTGCTGGCAGCTCCCTGGGGTTCAAAGCATCACATTGCTCAAATCTGGGACCAGTGCCACTGATTTCAAACAGCACCTCCAGGGAGTGCTGGCCTGTTGGAGCAGGATTTTATGGGAATCACATCTTCATGGAGCCACAGAAAGGTCTGGGTTGGAAAGGACCTTAAAGCTCCTCCAGTTTCACTCCCAGCCAGGGCAGGGACACCTTCCACTATCCCAGGTTGCTCCAAGCCCTGTCCAACCTGGCTTTGGACACTTCCAGGGATCCAGGAGCAGCCTGGATCTGCTCTGGGAATTCCATCCCAGCCCCTCCCCACCCTCACAGGGCAGAATTCCTTCCCAGTTTCCCACCCATCTCTGCCCTCTGGCAGTGGGAAGCCATTCCCTGTGTCCTGTCCCTCCAGGCCCTTCACTGCAGAGCTCCCCTTGCCTGCCCAGGTGCAGCTCCCTCCCATCTCCACCACTTCTGATATTAAAAACTAATTATGATCCTGGGATTTAGTGGCCAAGTCTGGAAGCTGCAGGCCCTGGGATGTGTTGGATGTGTCCCTTTGGAGCTGGGCCACGCTCTGAGGAGCCCAGCAAGTCCAAGGGGATCCGTTCCCATGGGAGAAGGAATGATCCAGCTGCAGAGGACAGCTGCCACTGGGGAGTGAGGAGCTGCTGACTGACCCTGGGAGGGTTTAGCCCATGGTGTCACACTGGTTTAATCAGTGACTGAGGGCTCTGCTGGTTTTGGAGGTGTTTATCCCTTCCTTTCCCTGTCCTTTGTTGGTGTGAGTTTGTACCCTGACCCCACAAAGGAAAGATCAGACTCAATGATCCTTGTGGGTCCCTTCCAAGTCAGGACATTCCATGATCCTATGAGATGTTACCCCAAAAAACAGAAATTCTCTTACTAAAAACTGCAACAGTTCAGCTGCTAAAAACCTCCAAACTTTACCCAAAGAAAGTACACCCTCAAATTAATGCAAACCAACCCCTTCCTTAATTTATTTGTGGGGTGCCCTGATGAAGGAAGGAATGGTGAATCTGACTCCATGTTCCCAGAAGGCTAATTTATTATTTTATTATCTATATTATATTAAAGAATACTATACTAAACTATAATAAAGAATACAGAAAAGATGTTTACTGAATGCTAAAAAGATAATTATGAAACTTGTGACTCTCTCCAGAGTCTGACACAGCCTGGCCCTGACTGGCCAAAGAGTGAAAACAACTCACAGCAGAATGCAGTGAAACAATCTCCAAACACATTCCCCATGAGCACAGCACAGGAGAAGCAAATGAGATAAGAATTGTTTTCCTTTTCTCTGAGGCTTCTCAGCTTCCCAGGAGAAAAATCCTGGGTGAAGGGATTTTTCCAGAGAATGTGAATGCCACACTTCCCTGTGCTCCCACCTGAGAAAGGCATATCCTAAATACATAAATATCCTAAATACTCCCTCATTTCCCCTCCTGCTTTCCCTGGAGAGAGTGTAAATGCAGGATAAGCCCTGCTTGAGAGGAGAAACCTTCCAGGGGCAGACCCAGCTCATCTCCAGCCCTGCATCCCCTCTCCCTGCAGCACGGGGTGCATTTCCAGTGATGTCTAGCAGTGCTGGGTTTATTTCCCCCCATGACGTGTAACTGGTTAAATCCTCCTCCATGGGAGCCCAGGAGGTTTGTCCCAGGATTCTGAGGAAGGATTTGAAGTGAGGGAGGTCCCTGTGCAGGGATTTCTGGCCCATGGATATTGCACTTGCTAAAGAGGCTCTCCCAGAGCACGTCCCTGATCTGGTGTTGATTTTCCAGTGAAGGATTTCTTTTGATAAGAGTTGCTTGCATAGGGAGGGAGGGAGGGAGGGAGGGAGAGGGAATTCCTTGGCTGTATAACATAGCTCTGTATTTAAAATGGAAATTAAAAAGAAATACCCTGTTTATATATTTCTACTTTTTGTCCAATCCCTGTCTTTGCTTTAATCTGGGATTCTCTCCCAGTGTTGAGGGTGTTTCTCTGGGGACTGGGGATATATTTGTGTAATCCCCAGCACCTGGAGCCCTTGAGAATCTCAGCTGTGACTGTAAGAGCACATGTCTGACACAGGAGAGTCTGGGGAGCCAAAAATTGGATTATTTCATCATTTAATGGAGAATAACTGCACCTTTTACCTGATTTGGTGCACTGGCAGCATCTGGAGCTGGCTCTGACTTCCTTGGCATCACCCAAACCAGAGATGAGCCCAAATCCAGGTGAATGTTGTCACTGGAGAGCCTGGGGATTCTCCAAGGAGTGAATTTGTTACCTGACACAGGATCCAGCCCCCAGCTGCCAACTCCAACCTCCTGCAACTCAAAGAGGAGCTCACAAGGACACGAGATTGAGGTGAGGCTGGGATGGCTGTGTGGGTCTCAGAGCAGGATCTGGGACAATCCAGAGCCTGCCAGCACATAAATTGCAACATTTATTTACTGATATTATGATATTAATATTGATATAATATATACCAACCCCTGTATACTGATCTATTGATATATTATGATATCACTATTGGTATTATTATATCATTATTTGTTGATAATAAATAATGCCTATATATATATAAATATAAAATATAAATTATATAATATATTATATATATAATAAATATAATTATATATATATTATAAAATAATACATATTATATAAATATAAATATGTAACATTATAAATATATATATAATATTAAAATATATATATATTATATAAATGTATAATGCCAATATTGCAACAATTTTGTTGTCTCTGGTCTCCAGCCACTACATCTCCCCAGGTTCTGTGGGATTCCTCCTCCAGCTCTGACCTTCATCAGCACAAGCTGCTGGTGACCCTCATATAAATCTATATATTTTTTTTAAAAATCCCAAT